TATTAAACTTTTAGGCATTGCATTTAATTCAATGACGTGTTGGTCATGTATTCTTTAATGTGTTCGAAGTTTCATTGTGATATTTCATAAGTTATACAAGTATACAATTTTCTTAAAACTCTTAAAATGATGTTAGTCGCTGTAAATTGATATCAGTTTAAAAGAAAAGTAGTGCCCTATGTGCTAATTTGGTGATAAAACATAGGTATATAGCTTCTGTACCGAGTCGTTCTTTTGTTATTTCAATTTTTCTTTAAATTATTAAAGTGAATCGGGCTATTTAAATATGATACATTTATTACTTTTGAACTTTAAAATGTATCCCATATATTCATTTTCTGCTTCAGCGATGTTTCCAACACGTCGTGCTTTCATAAGTAACGATTTTTATGAATGATTAACACCGCTATAAAAAAATTACAGGTTGGGATCATTGATGCTGTTAAGAATTGAGTAACGCTCAAGTCGGTGCTAGGGGGCGTGAGGGATGTTGCACTTATTCATTATCCTTCATGTACAGACTCAATCTAACCGAGTCTGCAATTCTTATGTTATTTTGTTGTGATAAATGCTTCCGAGGGATCACTTTGTTTCCAGAGTTTTAAACTTCACAACAGCAGGTGTCAAGTGCTGTGTGGCAGCTGTAAAAAGTTGCACCGTACTTCACTTCAGTGTTGTTATATTTTTTTGGTCTTTCGGGATCATTGATGCCAGCACTATTAAGCGTTGAAAATTGAGTAACGCTCAAGCCGGTGCTTGGGGGGGCGTGAGGGATGTTGCACTGATTCATTATCCCTCATGTACAGACTGAATCAAACCGAGCCGAGTCTGCAATTCTTATGTAATTTTGTTGTGATTAATGCTTCTGAGGGATCACTTTGTTTCCAGATGTTTTTGCTACATGTATTTTTTGTGTGTTTAGATTGCATACAACATTATTTCTCTTAATAAGAATCATTAAAACTGGTATGCAGCTTGCAACATCTATGCATCTATTTACTTTGTATGTCCTCTTTTTGTATAGTCCCTTTTCAAGATTTCTAATATGAAACCTGTTTTTAACATATAAGGTAGATACGCTAATAAAATCATATAGAGATTGAATAATAAGAAAGGTTTACATTCGAAATAATTTGCTTTTTATCATAAAGCTGAAAGTTTTAAAGCATAATATAAAATAATATAAATAGCATAAAGAAGTTTACAATTACATCAAGCTGTATCATGTTTATTATTCATGAAATTTTGAGATAAACCATCAGGTCCCTGAATTTATGTACCCTTTACTACGTGTGCATCGACGACGAGGGCAGACAATAGAAATCCGTCTTCATGTTTTGAAAAGTAAATTTATGTGATGTATTGAACCACTTTTAAAGCTTGTTTATTTAAATAAAATAATACAAATATGAAAAAGAATAATATAAATATGATAATTATAGCATTTACATTGATACGTAGATAATTAAAAACTAAATATATTTATGAAGTTTAAGTCAGGTATTTTAGAAGATATAGGATATTTTAAAAAGTTTAGAGGTGCATTCACTTATATAATTGCACTTGAAACAGAGCAAAATCTGTGACAAAAAATGCTTTGTAGAATTTCGCTCTGCATGTACTGTTTTAGATATCAATTAATTCAGTTAGATTCATCCAGCAATTTTCAAAGTTTTTTAATGTATCATTTTGTAATGCAAAACGACATAATTTTTAATCTGTTTAAATATTTCCTTTTCTAATGTCTGGAGTATGATTCATAAATTTACTGGTATAAATGTAATATTTTGAAAAGAGGAAAATATATGATGTTTTCTTATCTTTAGCAAGAAAGAAAGATCTAAAATTGTCATATTTTACATTTGTTGCTATTTCATTTAGCCATTTGAATATGAGATTATTCCAAAATATTTAGTTTAAACATGTTTATTTCAATATTTTACATATATTACATTATATAATTGTTACATAAAATTGAAAGGGATTAGAACGAAAGAAAACTTATATAGTTCCACTTCCTCTCCAAAATATTTGTACCGTTTTGCAGTCCCAAAATAGATCCTCTATACTTTCAATATAAATAGTATTACAGCAACATTCACAGAGACTAGATTCGGTTAATTTACATTGTTTTCTGTTGATAATGTTCAAAATTCATTAATATTTTATCAAATTTTAATCGTTACAATTTGTACCAAATACAAAAATAATTGTAATATGTTTCAAATTTACCTATGTTTTCTTATGTAGAAGTTCACGATGTGCTTTATAACTTCACATTTTGTAAACTGAACGGAAGTCGTACATTTTCTTTTAGAGTACAAGCGTGACAACAATAATGGAGATATCAATTGCATTAATACTTATATTACTCTGTCAGTTTGGTAAGTCACGTTAGAATTACAATTATTTTAATGTAGAGAAAACTTATTAATAAACAAAGAATCAAGTATCTACAAGTAATAATAAATTGTATCTATTAGTACATACATACTTACTTATGAATATATTTCAAATGCAGGAAATTATAAATGTTTAGAAAATGAAAGCAAATATTTCTTTTCAAGTAAGATAGAACAACAATAGCCTTAAAATGTTATATATTTATATTACTAGTAGTTTATTTCGTAAAATGAATACCATCGTGATACAATATACATTGACGTTATTAACAATCTCTGTTTGTGCAAAGTTCACAATTGTGTGAATGAATGCATAATTCATGTCATGATAAAAGACACTTGACCCTCTCTATATATCTTAAGCTATTTTTGAACAATTAAAACATATTATTTTTTAGAATAAAATCATGAAAATTGATTTTCTTGAATTATCAAAGCTGCCGCAAATAGCGAGTGTATATATACAATTAAGTTATCGGAGTCCGTTGATGACCGGTTGAGTCAAGACTCCGTCGGAACCTGAAAGAACTCCGTCAGAATCCGTCGGAGTCGATACTTAAATATTTAATGTATCACGAGTTTCATGCTATTTTCAGGTTAATTGTTACCTATATAAAGGGAATGAAATTGGAAACCGGGTTTATTAGTTGGGGATTAATTTAGTTGAGTTTAGTTGTGTTAAGAGAAAATTACATATGAGGATTATTCAGGATATTGTCTGTAAAATAAAATAATTGGATTATAAAATAAAGAAAGTTAACAAGAAATTATTGTGTTTTACTTAAAATAAAATAAATTCCAGTGTGGCAAAGAAATAGAATTCTACAGTCCTAAAACTGAAAGTTATTAAATTTCGCCACATTGTTTGGTCCCGCGAACCGGATAACAGTCAGTGGATAACACATTCAGCGGATAATATTCGGATACAATAAGTGAAGGAGAGTGCTTTTAATAAGAATTGTGATTTGGATATTGTTCAGTGAAGAATTGTTTGTTATCTTAGATAAATTTATTTGGTGAGTGTGACTTCAACTAAAACTAAAAATGACTAAAGTTAAACATTTAAAAGGTGTTAAGACAAAATTTAGAAATATTCTGCAGAAAAATATTGATTTTGGAAACGATCTGATAAGTATTGATATCGAAAGCTGTAATATTGAGAAAAATGTGCTGGAAACAAATAAATGTATTCAAACTTTAAAAGTTTATTGTGAAAAGTTAGAAGTTCAAAGTGAAAAATTGGCAGCAGCAATCGAAGAAGGTGATTCAAAAGTAATTGAAACAATTACTGAAGAAGATTGTGAACTGTGTTCTAAAGCTGTAGAATGCTCTATAAATCGACAACAATTTAAAGAAATGCTTCTCAACGAAAAAGAGAAGAGCGAAATGAAACATGTTAAAAGTGAATCAAGTGTAGAAACACATTCAGATGAGTTTATGGCACTACACAAGGACATGCAAAAACTCATGCAGCTACAAATTCAACAACAAGAAAGACTACTGGACATTGAAGTAAACAAAGGTAAACATTCTTCTACAAAATAACCTAATTTGAAACTAGATTTAATATCATTTGGAGGAGATAAGACAAAATGGAGTGAATTCTGGGATTCATTTAAATGTTCAGTGCATGAAAATCAATCACTTTCAAATAGTGAAAAATTCAATTATTTACGAAATAAAGTATTCGGAGAGGCTCAACGTGCGATCTCAGGTCTAACATTATCGGACGCTAATTATAAAATTGCAATCGATATCTTAAGGGAAAGATTTGGAAAAGTGCAAGAAGTAGTTGACTTACATTACAATAAATTAATCAATTTGGAGCCAGCATCGAATAAAACCGGAAGTTTAAGAAGCTTGCTCGATACAGTTGAAAGGCATTTACGCAGTCTAGAAGTGTTACATCAAGATATTGATCAAGCTGTGTTTGTGTCAATGATACGAGCTAAACTACCTGAGGAAGTTCTTGTTCAGTTAGAAATATTAAATGGGTCGAACAATGAGTGGAGTATAGACAAGCTCCGAAAACGATTGAATGAATATATTCTTGCTAGGGAAAGAGCAGAAAAGAAAGATAATGTGTTGGAAAAGAGAATACATGCATCGTCTATTCAATCAGGATACAAGCAAAATTCAGCTCAACTAAGGAGCTATACATATTCAGCTCAGTCAAGAAATAATACAAATTCACACCAACCGAGGAGTTATTCGAAGTCAGCACAACCAAGAAGTTATTCAAGTTCTGCTCATGTGCTTACAGTGAATAACCCTAAGCAACTTACACAAAGACAACAGACTGAAAATTATGCAGATAAATGTCGTTATTGTCAGCAGAAACATTGGAGCGATGAGTGCACACAATGCCGAACTATAAATGAAAGAAAACAGCAATTGAAAGACAGCTGCTTCAAGTGTTTAAGTGAATGTAAGAAAAACAAAATTTGTGCACACTGTGGTGAAGTGAACAAGCATCACAGAAGTTTGTGTCCTCAAAAATTCAAGGTGAAGGAATCAATGACGCATTTAGCAAACGAAGAAACAGAATATAAAGAGACTTAAAATTCTGAGGAAAATGTTCTCGTGTCGTCAAATGAAATGGTTCTAATGCAGACGGCGATTACAGATATTAAAAGTCCAGATACCTCTGCAACACAGTCTGTTAGACATTTTTTGGACTCTGGATCTCATCGGACATATATAACTGAAAACTTAGCAAGAAAGTTACATCTTAACGGGAGAACAGGAAATAAAACTTGTAACGTTTGGTAATAATAGTACACAATGCATCAAAACAAAATGTGCTAACATTGATGTTAAACTGTAAAATGGTGAATACCATTCAATCAGTGTGAACATAGTTCCGACAATAAGTGGCAATTTGCATAGAAGTCCAGCAGGCGTTTTGAATAAGGAGCACGTTAAACATATTATTGGAAGTGTTGATTTAGCTGATACATTACCAAATAGAAACGAAACACCATCAATAGAAATGTTAGTTGGTAACGACTATTATTTGGATTTTATTCTGTGTCAAAAGATCGAACTAAATCCTGGTTTGTTCCTTCTTGGGTCCAAGTTAGGATGGATCCTTACCGGAAGAACTTCTGATCAAGATAGCGATGGCCCATGTATGCTTATTCTAACGCATGGTAATAATGCAACAAATACAATTTTATTTGCCGATGTGGATAGTGTTGTACCTGTGAAACCAAATTTAGAAGACTTTTGGAATGTGGAGTCAATAGGTGTTATAGAAAAACAAAATATCTCAGATGATGAACATGCAATGAAAATGTTTCAGGATACAATTCAGTTTGAAAATGGCCGATACCAAGTCACGTGGCCTTGGACTGAAGAATTTCCTGATTTACCTGTGAACAGGGACTTGGCAATAGGTCGCTTAAAAAGCTGTGTTAATAAACTAAAAACAAAACCTAAGTTAGTGATGAAATATGATGAAGTTATGAGAGATCAGCTAAGTAAAGGTGTTATAGAGAAAGTTGAAAAATCACCACTAGATGGTTTGGTACATTATTTGCCACACCATGCTATTATCACACCGCAGAAAACAACAACTAAGATACGCGTAGCATACGATGCTACGGCGAGAACAAGAAAATAAAATAAAAGTCTAAACGAGTGCATGTATAGGGGACCAGTAATGCTACAGGACCTCTGTGGTATGTTACTACGATTCAGGATGCATCCAATAGCAATCGTTGCCGATATAGAAAAAGCATTTTTGCAAATTGGATTAAAACCTAGTCGGCGTGATGTCACAAGATTTCTTTTGTTGAAAGACTGTAAAAATCCTACTGTAGTTACTGACCATATACAAGAATTCAGATTTTGTAGGATTCCTTTTGGAGTAATCAGTAGTCTGTTCTTATTAGGAGCAACGGTAGATTTCCATTTAAAATGTTATGAAAATCTAGTTGCAGAAAATCTAAGAAACAACATTTATGTAGACAATGTTATCACCGGAGCTGAAAACACAAGTGAAGCAATACAGCTATATACAAATTCAAAGGCAATGTTTGCAGATGCCTCGATGAATTTACGGGAATGGATTACCAATAGTGATTTTGTAAATAAATTCATTCCAAAGGAAGACAGAGCCGATACAAAAAGTGTTAAAGTACTTGGACATCATTGGAATGTCAATGAAGATACAGTTACAATAGCAGGTCCAAAAAACAAATCAAATGAACCGGAGTGGACAAAACGTACTGTGTTGAAAACAATTTCGTCGGTTTTTGATCCACTTGGCTTGCTATCACCAGTACTCTTACGAGGAAAAGTGTTTATTCAATCATTATGGCAGAAAAATATCGACTGGGATGACAATTTGACTAAAGAAGATCAAGAAAAATGGTTGTCTATTTTAATAGATATTCGCAAAATAGACACGTTGCAAATTCAAAGATGCGTTTGTGCGTTCACAGGACATTCTAAGAAATACTTATTGTTATGTTTCTGTGATGCATCGGAAAAGGCATTCTCAACAGTGATATATTTGCATGTTTCAGAGAAAAATACAACCGATGTAAATGTAATATTTGCAAAGACAAGACTTGCGCCTATTAAGAAACTAACAATTCCTAGGTTGGAGCTTCTAGCAGTTCTGATCGGACTGAGGTGCTTAAAATTTGTTAAAGAGCAATTAAGAGTGCCTATTGAAAGGCAATTTTTATGGACAGATTCGAAATGTGTTTTACAATGGGTTACGTCGGATAAGAAATTACCGTTATTTGTAAAGAACAGACAGAGTCAGTGAAATCAAAGAGCACATTGATGTTAACATGACTACATACCAAGTAAAGAAAATCCAGCAGATGTTGCATCCGAGGGACAACACTGAAACATTAGCAACTGACTCTAATTGGTGGCACGGTCCTAAATGGTTGTTGAAGCCTACCTCTTATTGGCCAACCGATTATCAAAAAAAACGATGATAGCTCACAAATAGTTGAAATGGAAGAACAAACAAACAAACAAGACAATAAAGAGACAATGTTAATGCAAACTAAAATTAATGCGGAAGAACATAGTTATAATCCTCCATTCGACATTGACAGTAAAAGATTTTCTTCTCTTACAAAACTGCTAAGAGTAACAGCTTTTGTGTTGCGATTCATACAGAAACTAAAGAAAGTTGAAAGAAAATATGGTTATTTAGAATGTGAAGAATTGTTAGAAGCTGAGAACATGTGGATTAAGCATATTCAAGAAACTCATTTTCAAAGTGACATCAATTCTATTCGAGCTAAAAAAGGTACAAATAGACAACAACAATTAGGGCTATTTCTTGACGAACAAGGGTTATTAAGATGCACTGGAAGGCTTGAAATTTAAGTGAAGGTGCCAGTCAACCAATACTTCTTCCAAGGAACGATCATTTTACTAAATTGATTGTGGAAAAAACGCATAAAGAACTACTACATAGCGGTGTTTTGCAGACGCTTGAAACAACGAGACAAAGATTCTGGATTTTACATGGTCGTGCAACAGTGAAAAGAGTGTTAAATAAGTGTGTTGTCTGCAGGCGCCACGAAGGTGGTTGCTATAAAATGCCACCATTGTGTTGTCTACCGAGGTCAAGAGTGACAGAATCAGTACCATTTTCAAGAACAGGACTAGACTATTTTGGTCCAGTGTACTTGAAAACAACAACAGGTGACGAGAAAAGGGCATGGGTATGCTTATTTACGTGCTTAGTAACTCGTGCTGTGCACCTTGAACTAGTTTGTGACATGACCACAGAAGAATTTCTCTTAGGTTATCGTCGTTTCATAGCTCAAAGAGGTACTCCATTGTATATAATTAGTGATAATGCAAAGCAGTTTAAAGCCGCTAGTTTAGTGATAGATAAGATATGGCATTGTATATTACATAGTCATGAAGTTCAAAGCTACTCTGCAAATGCAAACATCCAATGGAAGTTTATAATAGAGCTCGCGCCCTGGATGGGAGGATTTTACGAGAGGCTAGTCGGTCTTGTAAAAAGATCATTCAGAAAAGCTGTGGGGCGAAAACTCTTAACTATCATTCAAGCTCAAACACTTATCAAAGAAATTGAAGCCGTAGTAAACTCAAGACATTTTGTCTATATTGGTGATGATGTAAACTCTACAATTGCATTAACACCGAGTCATTTTCTTACGTTGAATCCAAAGATCGGTATTCCACAAGTTTCGAACGAAGATGACAATGAATATTTGCCAACAGAAAGCTCTTCGGAAAAGTTGTTGAAAATTTGGAAGAAAGGTCAAAAACTTTTAAATAAATTTTGGCAAATATGGAAGAATGATTACTTACTAAGCTTACGAGAAAGAATGCAAACACGTCTGAAAGCAAGTCGTATTCAGTCGCCTGTAAATCCAACAATTGGAGATATTGTTATTGTAAAAGAAAACTTTTCTTGAGGCAACTGGAAACTGGCAAAAATTGAGAAGTTAAATGTCAGTCGAGATGGTGCTATAAGATCATGTCAAATTAAATTGGCTCCAGGAAATGTTCTGAATCGTCCAATGAATTTACTTTTTCCCATTGAAACGACTCAAAATGATATAGTTACAAAAGAAAAAAGTGATGAAAATGTGCTTGAAGAGCAATTAATACGTTCAAACAGAAACAAAAACAAGATGCAAAGTCAGCAGATGTCCGAACGTAATGTACGTTCGGCAGCATCAAAAGCGTTAAAAGCAATTAAACAACAGTTATCCGAATAAAAAGTGAATAGTTAAGGCGGAGTTTAATTAAAAACTATGTTCACTTTAACGTTAACGATTGTACACTGTGAATGCTCAGCCGGATATTTGTTTGTTAACGCAAGACTCATATGTACAATAACCTCAACGGAGCATAGTTACTGTGTAAAATTACCCAAAGTTTTTCTCGTAAAAATCTTGCAAATCATGGAAATAGCATATAAAATAAGAAGAAACTTTGTATTGTGTTATTATTTCACAGTAGACACCTACAGATAAATATTAGAAAAATCGCAAAAATATTAAAATGTATCAATGCGCTACTTGTCAAAAGATGTATAAGTATAAGAGAAATCTACTACAACATGTTAAAGAACGACACAGAGAGGTTGAACATTGGAATTGTCCTGTTGAGGAATGCACATCCAAATTCATTCGTCGGGGATATTTGTGCAAACATTTGATACTAAAACATGGCTACACATCATTGAAGTCACGTGAATCTGCTATATCAGCCACCAGAGGAAACGCGTATTCACAGAACTCATACTACGATGACGTCAGCGACGATGATTCTATGTTAGATTTATTGTCATACAACGACACACACAACGACTTTGGGCCAGTTTTAGACAGTTTTGATTTGAACATGCTTGATGAAACAAACAACAGTCAGTATGATACGTAGACGTAAATGATTGTCAGGCAAGTGTTGAGTGCAAGGATGTTGAAGTTCCAATTGAAATAAACAATAGTGGTAGTGAACGTCAGATAATATTTGTGACTCAATAAGTGACGTTAACGTCAACGTGACCGTCAACGTTAACGTCAACGGAATAAATGGCAACCAAAAGGATTCTGGACAAAATACAGAAATAAAAACAGTGAAACTGAAAGTGATAGTGAGAAGGAGGACGGTTATAGTGTCGTAACAAGTTTCTCCGAGGGAGATAATATTGACGTCGACGTTGACGGTCATTATGATCAAAACACAGAAAATTCGACGTCTGAAAGTATTGTTGATGAAAATAACAACTGTCGTTTGTATAGTAAAGACACAGATCTTTCCGACGACGGCAGTGACAACGACGCTATCAATAATAATGTTTGTGATGAAGATATGGTTATTATTTCAAGTGACGGAGAATCTAGTGGAGGAGACAGTGACCCAGAATATCAACAAATCGAACTAGCCACGTCTCAATAAAAAAACCAAAGTGTGGAACTTTACATTTAGACAAAGGTTATGTATACGTCAAGGACAAGAATACGTTTTAGGAGAGAATATTGAATGTGACTGTTTTGAGTTTGACAAATAGACTAAAAAAATGTGTTCGTGTGTTTAATTATGTCAAAACGACTGGTGTTGCTTTTCAATATGAGCACAAGAATTTGAGACTGCCATGAAAATATTGATCTTATTTTGTATATTTTACAATTTCTGTATATATTGACTTGGAAATGATTTTGTTAGAAAATATTTTGATTGAAATGATTTTGTAATAAGTTATTACTAGTATAATATCAAATTTACATATGATAGATGAATATTAACGGTTGTATAATATCTGAATACTTGAAAATGTTCTTATTACATAATAAGATTATACAGGATAAATATTGTTTAAATTTCAACACTTTAATTTAAACTTAAAACTTTGAAGTTATTGCAATGCTTTGTTTATTTCGCTTTGGTGGGAGTGTCGCAAATAGTGAGTGTATATATACAATTAAGTTATCGGAGTCCGTTGATGACCGGTTGAGTCAAGACTCCGTCGGAACCTGAAAGAACTCCGTCAGAATCCGTCGGAGTCGATACTTAAATATTTCATGTATCACGAGTTTCATGCTATTTTCAGGTTAATTGTTACCTATATAAATGGAATGAAATTGGAAACCGGGTTTATTAGTTGGGGATTAATTTAGTTTAGTAAGGGATTAATGTTCTTTCTTTTTTAAACATGATTGTGTGCTATAATTTATCATAATAAACAGTCAAATGTGTCTGAATGTTTATTCTTTCCTTTTAGCTATCATAGCATCGGATGAAAACAAATTATTTTTGATTATCACATCATCTGTTGTTGCTGGTGTTGCTGTATTCATCTTGCTGGTGATTATAGTAATGTGTTTTGAAAAACGTAATAAAAGGTACACTTTTTTTATTTCACTACTCGATTTAACTTTATTCGAAAAATAATTGTTTAATTGCACATTAAGATGTTAATGAATTCCTTTCAAAACTTTTTTCAGGATCTTAAACGTAATCGAAACCAGTATTAGATTAAAACATATTCGTTTTTACTTATTCATAACATTTTATTATATTACAGACAACAGATGACATCGAGACAAAGTGAGGAAAATGATTATGTACAGGGCATGCAAGATATTTCTAAAGAGTGTAAGACAGACGAATTTGGTATGTTAACGTTAATATCTAATAAGTTCTTTTATTATTAACTTAGTTCCAAGAGACAATATATTTACATGTATAAATAATTTTCCTTTAGGTTTTGCAACAGTAAAAGAACTGCATGACGACTCATCTTTCAATTAGATACACAGTGTCCAACGGTCGGGGTTGGAAATCAAATATAGTTTAACCGTTAGGAAACTGAACAAGTGTGTCTGGGAACTGAAGTGGCAATACCATGCTTTTTAGATGAATAGCCCTGACATAACGCTTTATATACATTTACTGATTAAATCTCATTCGCAATATAAAATTAATTCGGAAAAGAAGGTGAAACGGAAGGACTGGCGAACTGGTCTATGATTCAAAATATAAGTAAATCTTAAAATAAGACAGATTAAATGAATGCATCATTACTTGTTTTGTGAAACGATTTATGACAGCGAATCTGTCACATATTTTACAGCTATAATTGCTATATTTTCTATGTTCGTTTATTTCAGATGCTACTTACGCCGAGCTTCACAAAAGAGAACAGCAATCTGGTGATGGTGCGGGAAAGGAATATGACACTGCATTTGGCGATGATAAAACAATATCTGACATTGACAAAGGGTATACTTTGGTTAACATAGGAGCATCTGCCAATAAGAGTTTTGAAGTATCTGATATTGAACTCGATAACAAATGCAACAATGATTATGCTGTGGTTAACAAAGGTAAGTCGGCTGGTAAGAAACACGATTGCATCGACGAAATGTATGATACAACACATGACAACAAAACAAACAAAAAATATTTATTTAGTCTATGCTTTTTTCAAGATGCTCCTTTATGTTGGAAAAAAGTATATAAGTGACACTTTTCATTTTAGAAAACAATATGTTAAATTTAAATATGTCTGGTTATATTTAAAACCACACCACTGTCGTTTAATTATTAAACGGGCAGTTTATACATTTTTCCGAGATCTCGTTTTCAACATCAAAACAATTTAAATGTTTGCATAAACCTTTAGATGAAGTTACGTCAAAACACAAAACTGATTTCGGGGAAAATAGTATTTGAATATACATAATTCAAGTATGTTTGGTTAAATATAAGATCGTACGCATGATTATTAAGGTACTGGCGTGATATAAACACACACGAGCACTATTCTTCTAAAATAATTACAAATTATACATTTCAGTAATATAAGTAGCTCTATCTGATTGCTTTTTATTTATAACCATTATTGAATATTTTAACCTGCCTTTAAACGCTTCGATATATTAAGATGTTTATTATAATTTATGGAGAAATTACACAGCAATGATTGTCTTTACATCCATGACAAAACATCACATACACTAACAAACACGCATAGTTATAATCCCTTCTGTCTTAAACACTAAGTGAAAAAACAATTATTAATGAACATACAATTAACATAACAAATTAAAAATAAATCGGAATTATAAAGCTTTTTCAAAAGTTATAAGACCGTACGTGCGATTCTAACGGCACTACCCCTAACCATGTGATTATTACGCCGCCGTGTGATTATTACGCCGTTGGGTAATAACCACATGCGTGGTAATATTACGCGACACCGTAAATAACCGGACAGAGTTAGTAAGACATTTAGACCCCTTGACTTCTCGACACCTTACGATATTAAGATGACTTCTAGACCCCTTGACACTAGGACCCCTTTCTACATGACTTTTCGATCCCTAGTGGGTAAGACATTTCGGCCTTTATCTCAACTTGTACTTTAGAATCACATATACTTCAAGAAATTTTATTTTAAAGCAAATAGCAAATATTTTAATTATTTGCATAAAATCCGAGTTTGTTTAAGGTAAAAGGTAGAGACTTATGTAAATTATCTTTTAACAAAAAATAGAAATATTCTTTTATAGCTTTGTGGCCAAGATTGTAATAATTGAAAGTATGAAAATTTACCCTAATGATTCTGTGCTGTTAAACTAATAAACCTAAATAGTAGCAAGCCCTGCTTTAATCTATATGAACAAAAATAAAGATCAAATAATTCAAGATGGCTGCCATTTTAAACAAAGAAAAGATATTAATTAATCGTAATTAACTCTGAAAAAATAATATAATTACTTACACATTGATCAAAAAATTTTCATTTTGAATTTAGATAAACTCTAAGTTTCATTTAAATGCCAAAGTGCCTAAAATAAATTATTTCATTACTTAATAAACCTTAGAGAGCTTTTAAAGATGTAGCTTTTTTAAAATTTAGCAGCAGAATGTCAAAATTGTGTTAAGTGCTTGTATTTATGCACACTACTGGGAACTAGAACTTTGTGTGGAACCAGTTAAATGCAGAACTGCTCTGATTGGTAAAGGAATTTTAGCCAATCAGAGCTTATAAAGGCTTTACATAACCATCCTAAAAATAGATTAGGATTCATGAAACATTTGGCAACAGTATCAATTGACCATGATTATAAGAAAAATAAAGTTTTGCAAAATATTTGTATCAATAAAACTAGTAACTAATATCAACTAAATATATTTACAAACATGCAAATGCTAAATAAACAATATGTATCTCACTAAGTTTAAAGGCCAGTGTAATTGAAAGTAGAACCATTCTCTATATATTGTATGTAAAGAGTCTTAGGCCATGCTAAGTTACCGTTAAAGAGTGTATCAAAAAGTTCTACAAACTATAATTAACATTAAACTAATGAATGATAATTATGGAATGTCTATAAAAAATACATGTTCAATAAGATTAAACTTTGAAATAAACTTAAATTTTAGTTAGAGACTTGCCATTTAGCTTGTGATACTATATACTAAAAATAGACCGGGAGAGACAGAAAAAACCGAGAGGAGGCCGAAAAATAGGACATCCCACCTTTTTGGTATCCTTTTAATTTAAATACATTTTGTTGATTAATTGCCTACATTTGATACTTTTTCATTATTTTGTTGCGTATTCCCCGCCATTTTATTTGTTATTTTGATTTTATATTATTATATTATATTGTATTATACGTTTTTAGCGTCACATCTCATAGATAGAATATTCTCCCATTTGTTAGGAATGGGAATTATCAGAAATGGGATTTTCTCCCATATATCGACATTGGACTTTTCCCCCGTAATCAGAATGGAGATTTCACCCATGGAGGGATATTGACCGCAACGGAAATGGGAGGATTTTCAGTGGGAGAATAGGGGACTCAACTTTGATTGTCTCCCCAGCACTCGTGTGAAAGTTTATGTTTTACTTTATATCCATTGTTAAATGAACTCTTTATTTATTCCCTAGAAAGTGTAGCTGAGTTTGCGAAGATCCCGTATTTGCAAACCTACTCCGCTGTTTAATGATAAAATAATGATATCAGATAAAGAAAAGAAACTATGAAAGTATGAAAAGTTTATCGTGCTACAAAATTTATTATAGATGAAATGAGTAGGGAGAGTCAGGAGCTGACGGAGTTTAGTAATATATTGTATGAAAGACAACATCAACAAGGAAAGTTAGATAGCGAAGAAGAGTGGAGACATGGAAAAGGTAAGAAGATGGATAATTGCAAATGGTGTTTAAAAAGGTAATACTTAGAGCAGGAATTCATGTTTTAGATAATAAATATGTGTAAAACAAGTAGAATCCGCTGACATTCTTAAATGCTTTGATATAATATTATATTGAGTTATATCCCGCTGATGAAATGAATTCTACATTAATTGATTACACATTTAAATCCTTAGTCTTTGTAATTCCACTTGAGCGAATTCGGTTAGACAGAAATCTTTTGAACTGAAATCTGCTGAAATGAAATCCACTGATGCAGAAATGAACTGAGTTGTAGAGATTATTGGACACACAAAACCCACCTTGTCTCACAAAACAGACAAAATCCTACGAACACACATTAAAATCTAACAATGAAGCATATACAACAAGAAGTTTGGTCCATCGCATTTATATATATTTTCTTATCAATAATAAACACAAAGTTAAGCTACAAGCCTTGTTCTTTCGTATATATCTAATTTCGTCTATACATCGTATCCTAAAGTTTAGTTTTTTCCTGCTACTTGACCGATCCAACTTCTGACAATATTGTTATTATTATTTTTATTATTATTATTATTATTATTATTATTATTATTATTATTATTATTATTTACTAACAGGCCGGGCCTTGTCAAATATTCATTACTTAAGTAATAGAACAAGTAACCACCGATTGAAATAACAAGATAAAGTAAAGTACTCTTACGAAAGTAAACCTCTAAAACTTACAAAACTTAAGTAAATGTCAAACAAACCTTACTGCGTTTAACAAGAAATATAGCGATACATACTACACTGCAGTTTCAGTCATTAAGTAACCATATCTTGAATAAGAATTGTTTTATATTTCTCAAATCTTAGCAAATTATTCTCAAGGTTATTTTTAGCTATCTTGGCACCACTGAACCATGCAGTTTAAATGTAAATACCACTTAACTCGCTTTAAGCATATCATTAAAGGCACAAATCAAAATTACTTTGCTCTGTATCGTTCCTGTACATTCATTGGTGTCTTTGCTGCGGTTTTTTAAAACAAAAATATGCGGTACTAATTTTAAAACCATAAGCTGGATACACTATAATGCATCAACATTAAGTCCCGTTTTTTTTCAGAATGAAAGCTGTATTTTCTATCGTTAAATTGTCCGCGAAGCCACAGGGAATATGCGAAGTGACAATTTCTTGCATATAATTAAAATGTGATTGATCATTCTCTTACGAGGGCTGTCCCTGAAGTTATTTACTTTATGCCCGGTTAAGTATATTAAGATTCTTAGTCTTTAAATATATTGTTGCAGCACAGACACATCAATGTTACTTTCTTTTGAAAGGAACCCTCATTGGCTGTTTAATTATGTCTTTAAACGTCCGTCTCAAACTTTTAACAAGACAATGTAGTCGCTAGGTCTCCAACTGTCACTTGTTCATAATGCACATAATTCAAATACATGTACGAGGTACCGGGTGAGAAATATATAAGGGTGGAATAAACATAGACATCTTATCTCTGTCTCGACTGTCCCACAATTATATTACGGGCAGCTACGTTGGGGTGGGCATTTAGAGTAACGGGCTATTGCTGATTGGATGATATAAGCATTATCCAGGGACATGAACGCGATTACCCTCCCATGCTAACATGTCAGGTAAAAGTATATAAAATTGATAATATTGCATTATAAGACAAAAGTGGTGTTGAAATCGTTAACGAGATGTCGTAAAATGATAAAAATTTAACTGTTTATCAATAACACTTTACTCTGGAAATCGCCTACCTATTATCCAGATCGAGTGTTTGAAATTATTTTTATCAAAGGTCACGCATACAATGGTAAGTTTGCTGTTATTTTGTAAATGCTTACTATTAAACACCACAGGAATTCTATTTGAAAGACCCTGAAAATGTGATATTAAACCATCCAAAATGTACCATACACAGCACTAGAAAGTCAAGGAAATAACACCATTTCAACCTCGTATTTCCAGATTTTTTCAGTCTATGGGAGGGGACACTCCTCCTAAACCCACCCAATCACATACACTTTTCTTAAACCAGTTGAAATTATCTTCTAAATATTTACAAAATCAGTGGTATACACATATATAAGAAAAGTACATTGCCGCTCATAAGATCACCTATAAAAAGGACTTCAATTTAAACTTTTGCTCGCCAAATCATCTCCCCCCCCCCAGGAAAACCTGTTCTGTATCCGCCCTCGACTCATATGCTTGGTAAAGTATAAGATGTCAGTAAAAGATAGCTGCGGTATTATTTATGATAAGTTTTATATCGCATGCATTACTTGCAAATACCAATAACATTTCCAGCATATATTCCCTACTTGTTTCTGACTATAGACAGGGTCTATTGCCACTGCCAATCACATCTGGAATATTTATATACATGTATACCTATCATTCATTCATTCATTAAAAATCCAAGCCAACTTGTTGTACTTATGTGCCTCGTCCGTGCGTAACTCATGCTAAAGTATGTTCAACGTATTATTCCATACGACATTTGATGTGTTTTTCGATAAACTTCAACTGACCGTAAAACTGTTTTGAAATAATATGTTTACTTGGAATTTATTTTATTATATATACTTATAGAAGTTATTGCCTATAGGAATATCAAGAGAAATGTCAATTGTCCGGAGAGATGTATGATATATGGCTGCATTTGCCCTTAACTATTTTCGTTTTGCTTATTTCTTGACTTTTAGTCAATATTTTAAAGTAAGTCCTCTTATTGATTTGATATATATTAAGTACATTCTTTGAATAATTTAGGCGTAAGTGCACATGCCCATGCGAGATTCTGGTGTTATCCCAGTTATTCTTAATTTCTATTGCATTAACTCCCAAATATTTTCATGAATTTCGATTTCAACATGTTTTTTTTGTGATAAAGGTTATTAAACGATCTACCCAATTGAAAGAAAAAAAATGATATAGCCACGATGTAGTGTAATAGTTTATCCTTGGAAATTAGTCAAAATCGCTAATTTTCTAGCCATTCGCAATTTTATTTTTCTCGAATAAACATGTCATTGCAGGTATAGCCACGGATTTACGGACAGAAATATGTGTAAATACATGTATTTATACTAAATTTTACATCGTCACAATATAATTATATATCAATAAATAAAGTAATTCTTAGTGATTTAATTATATAAAATTAACAGCAAATTTATTTTGTCGCGCCTATTTTGGTCACCTTATGCTTTATTTTTTGTTTGTTTGTTTCTTTTTGTTGCCTCGGGGTATTTGTCTTAGGCTTTGATAAGCAAACGACTTTCTTTATGACATAGATACTTCATGGTGCTTGTTATGTTAACTTTATATTTGAAGCGACGAATGGTCTTCTTCTTGATTATTAAGTCTATGGATATTGTATAGTTTCTTGGGAAAAAGATATAAGTTCTTTTTTGAATGAATAATATAGAACATAATCAGTTTGTATCTATCTTATATTTTGTAATGCGTATTGCGTCCTTCGTTGTTTTTCACTCTATTGTGTACTGTATCTCGTTGTGTCTTGCGATTCAGTGATCACCTGTCATTAGATGATATTCTCGGGGACTTCCGTCAAACAACTATACATTTAAGTTGGATCAATAGCTTGTTTTGTTCTATTTCATGGTTCAAATATTTAATTTATTTCATGAATGTAAATATGACACATATTTGTTCCGCTTTTTCTCGCGAAGGTTCAGTCTATAGACGTAGCGTTTTCCCTCCTTATCTTTGCACATATATGAATACACCGCCGCCGGGATGGTCTGCATTCGGACGGTTTTATATACAGCGCGTGTAAGACCTAGCTTATTTTGTTACACTCGGTTGTATGTAAAACAACATTAAATTGTGAAACATAAATAACTAGAAATGTTTATTTCAAGTGTGAAAAATTCAAAGTGGAATTTGTGCATGTCTTATTTTTTTTCATTTTAATTAACGTTTTCGACAAGATAGACTAATGTCATATTCCTTCATGAATACAAGGTATATAAATATACTTTTAGTATCTATAAATGAAACAATTTTGTCACATTCAACATCCTGACATAATATATGTGACGCGTCTGTGTTGATGAATCAATAAACACCTTTAATTATCGATGACTGTCTGTTTATGTTTGACACAAAAATAACTTCATGTATAAATTTATGTTACGCATGCATTACAACACACTAGTTTATCGTCCCTTATTACTTAAACGCTATCACTATCTGCAATATCTTTAAAATCTGTATGACACTGATAAGATATATACATAACGCGTACAGCAAATGAAATAAAACATTAAATCTTTCAAAGATTATTATGCCATATTTAGACCACTGAATGTAATTTTTATCAACTACTGTATATATTCTTTTAAACCGGCAATGATAATAATAGAAAAATAAAACAATTTCCATTATTAGAATTGCTTGTTTTTTCATCTTTTCTGTTTTCATTTCTATCATATTCCAAGATAAAATGGCGATGCCTGTTTTATAATAATAATATTAATAAAAAAATAATCATAATAATAATAATAATAATTTTAATTATTATTGTTATTGATAATAATAATAATAAATATTAATAATAATAATAATAATAATAATAATAATAATTATTATTATTATTATTTGGTTCCGTATTCCCGCCATTTTATCTGTTATTTGGATTTTATTTTAAATATTATTATTATATATTGTATTATACGTTTTTAGCGTCACATCTCATAGATGGAATATTCTCCCATTTGTTAGGAATGGGAATTGTCAGAAATAAGATTTTATCCAATGTATCAACATTGGACCCCCCCATAATCAGAATGGGAGATTTCACCCATGGGTGGATTTTCCCCGCAACGAAAATGGGAGGATTTTTAACATTACTTTTAATGTTTTCATTTACAAAATTAAGTATCTGAAGACAACAATAATAAATTTCTTGCATAAAAGTTTATACTTTATTTTTTTCTAAATCTCCCATTATTTTTTTCTACCATTTTTATAGAATAGGGGTAAAACCCCATATAAGATAGCAAAACCCCAGTGGGAGAAAGGGGGACTCAACTTTGAATGTCTCCCCAGCACTCATTGTTAGGGGTATGTGAAATTTTAAGACCAGTTTTGGTTTAACTTTATACCCAATTTTAACTGAACTCTTTATTTATTCTCTTAATACTTAAGAAAGTATAGCTGAGTTTGCGAAAATCCAGAATTTGCAAACTTATTCCGGAAGCTGTTTAAAATGTATATTATATTTACGACACACAGTATGAATGCTGTTTAAAACCCTTATTAATTTCGTATTTTTCAATTCTAAATAATTCAAACATAATTAGGCTGTCTTGAATTATATGTTCTATACATTAAGCGTAATTAAGTGTTTATATTAAGATATGTGTTTATTACAGAGCGTTTCAAATACTACTTAATATGCTATATCTTTCAAATAATTTTCGTTATTATCAAAACAAATGTCAACATTAGGTTGGTCATTATTTATAGAAAGATGTTTAACAAGAGATCAAAAAGAATCCTTCAAGTTTGATGGTCGGTTAATACAACTAACAGAAATACAGACTGAATCTTTAGGAAAATCATTAGATGAGAAGGCTATAGGAGAAGGTGCTTTTGGTCAAGTATTTCGTAGCAGTAAGTATATAATCTTGTCCATATCACTAGAATTCTATTTTAAATCAGCCTGCCATCCATATAGATATCAGTCGTATATCTCCGAATTGTGGGATATTGAGTTTTAATTGTCCGTCTGGCTGCTCTGTGGAAAATAATTATACTAGTATACGTAAAAGTATAAGCTTTCAAGTCTGTGGAAAGAACGTCAGGTATTCCAGAAACATACTGAATGGTATTGTTCTTAACCTAGAATACAGGATCATCCAAAGCTGTACACGATGCAAATATGAACTATATAAAGAGTATACCGGACATATATATAAAAGTTATATAATGAAATATCTGGACCTGTATTTTGCAATAGTAAAGAAAGCATCTCGGCACATTACGATGCTTATATAAAGCCAAATATTTGTAGATGCTTAATGTACATTTTAAATAAGAGCAGTATGTCCAAATGTCTTAGATCGTGATCCTCATACTTTGAGTATTTGAAATAATAACATATGATTTAACAAACAAAACATATTACATTTTAATGAAAAATATTTTATCAATTCAATATCATATGGACATATAAAAACTATCAATGAATGCACAAATAAAATTCGCAACTATGATAAGTGTGCCACAATAAATTTATGTTAACATAAATCTCGAGGGACTTCTTTAATGTTCAACCTAATGAACCACTTGAGTAGTATTTTAATTTTATGATAAATTATACGTTTCGTAGATATAATATTAAGGTTATTAAAAATGTAGTATGAGATGATCGTCGTCCGTCGTCCATCCACATGTGTTCATTAACACTCTAGTGGTCACATTTTTTGCTTAAATCATCATTAAACTTTGTAAGGATAGTTGTCTAGGTACTTGCTAGGATGAGTTCGAACATTGGTCATCTCGAATGAAAAACTAGGTCACAGGAGCTCAAAGTTAAATAATTGTTAACACTTTAGTGGCTGCTGTTTTGATCCAAATATCATGTAAATTATTCTGAATGGTTTTTTTTGATGACTTCTATGTCAATATTAAGTATGGATAACCTGGCTCAAAAACTAGGTCACACCGCCCAAATATGGAAAAAAACCTTGTTAACACTCTTGTAGTCACATTTCGGACTTAATTGTCATCAAACCTGCTTGATCAAAAAAGGATGCTTGACTAGTTAATTGTTTGAACGAGTTTGAACATGAACCATCTCTGCTGAAAAAACTAGCTCACATGAGCTAAAAAAGAAAATCTCTCTAGTGGCTACTATGTTGAACAAAATATCCTGTAAATTGTTCTGCAAGTTTGTTTTGATGATTTCTAGGTCAAGTTTGAATATGGGTCACCTGGAATCAAAAACTAGGCCGCATTGCTCAAATATGGAAAAATCTTGTTAAGTTAGTGGTCACATTTTTGTCTCAGTTGTCATCAAACTTGGTTAGAATTCTTGTTTAAGTAACTGCTCAGATAATTTCGATTGGTCAGGTGAGCGATCTAGAACCATCTTGGCCCTCTTTTTTAAAGAACTTACTCATTGTTGCCTAGATGTTAAACGACTATATTATTATCATTCGTCAACTGCTAAATATTACAACATTTCTTATAATATTGTCATTTTTTTCAAATTTCTTTAGATGATATGAATATGACACTTGTCTGGTTTGATTTTTAGCTTACCTGTCGCAAAGTGACAAGGTGAGCTTTTGTGAATACAATTTGTTCGCCGTCCATTTATTTTCCTTATATGTTTATAGTAAAAACATAATCAATATACCATTAAAATACCAAAATAGCTACAGCTTAGATATAAAGCATGAAAAAACTTATAATGTATGTTTACCAAGTGTGTTAAAATAAAAACCTGGGGTCAGAATTTGCTCTCCTCGGGCGTGGTGGGGAGGGGTGGGGGCGTTGATATTCCATTTATGTTTAAAGTAAAAACTATAAAACTGTTCATTTTTCAAACAAAATTGCTAAAATTGACTGTTACTTTGTAATTAATTAATAAATTATCTTTATATTTTGAAAATAACAAAAAATAAAAAAGAAAACAACAATAACATTTTGGACAATACCTTTTAAAAAACTGAACAAACCTTGACCCTGAGCTTTCAATCACATTAACCATCAAGATGAAATCATTGAATTTTGGTTAAATTATGACAATTTTGTAGACTAGTTACGGATTTGATTTATATTTGGACGAAGCAAGACTTGGGGCAAAACAAACATATTGTATAATTTAGATGTAAGCTTGACTTTTGAATTCAAATTAATTTGATTATCTTTTTTTTTCCAAAAGCTATGGTACTTTAAAGATGTGCACAGTTTAAGATGTAACATTGAACTTTTATAAGAGATGACCTTGATTTGACGACGTGGCCTACTTTTGAACTTTGATATCAGCTGATGAGATGATGATGGGATTTAGGTTAATATATGTAAGGTCATGGTCACTTAAGATGATAGTCAAGGTCACTAAAGATGATAAAATATTGGGATTTTGTCCAGACCATATCTCCTGCACATAATCAGGGATTTTCATGAGACTTCATACAAATGTTCACAACTATGAGAAGCAGTGTCATGTACGTGAACCAGGTTACTAGGTCACAGGTCTAGGTCACACTTAGAGGTCATTGAAAATCGCTTGTCCGGCGCGAACGTCTACATAACTAAAGGGATATCAATATAACTGTGACTTTGTCACTCATCAATAACTTGAATTAAATGCTTACGACATCAAGACGATGTCTTGCGCCCAAAAATACCGTCCTTATCTCAAAGGTCAAAGTCACACTAATATTTTGAATTTTCACATAATCACAATAAGGGTTTATAGGTACACACAATCGTGTCGGGGCTGTATCTTTGTCTGGCATCGAAGGATTTTAGAATAACTTGTCATAAATGTCTACCACATCAAGACGATTGGTTGGGTTTAAGAATCACGTCCCTGCCTAAAATGTCAATGTCACACTTTCATTTTTTCATTTATGTCTGGTGTGTAACTTTGTGATGCATCGGAAGAGTCAAGAATAACCTGGCATAAATGTCTACCACATCTAAACAATGTGTCGCGTTCTCGAATCACGCCCCTATCTCAAAGTTCAAGGTCACACTAACATTTTGAAGCTCACTTTATCACAATTAGAGTTTATAGATACACGAATTCGTGTCCGGACTTTGACTTTGTCATGTATTGAAGAATTGTACAATAACAAGGCATAAATGTCTTCCACATCAAGACAACATGTCGTTTTAAATACGGATATCCCTACCTTAAAGGTCAATATCACATTTATAGTTTGAAGGTACTCATTCTCTCTCGCAGAGTTTGAAGAAACACTTTCATGACTTGACTGTACCTTAATCATGCATCGACGGATTTTAAAATAACGTAGCTTGAATGTCTACGACATCAAGACGATGTGTAGTGGCTAAGGGTTATGTCCGTCTGTCTGTCCGTGCGTCCCCACTTACACAACAACCATGTCCAGACTGTTACTTGGTCATGCATTAAGAAATTGTTAAATAACTTGGCACCGATGTCTACCTAATCAAGACGATGTGTCACATCCAAGAAGCACGTCCCTTCCTAAAGGTCACGGTAACCCATATATTTTGAAGGTTCATTATATCACAATTAGAGATTATAGCTACAAACATTCGTGTCCGGACTATAACTGTGTCATGCATTGAAGAGTTTAATAATAACCTGGCACAAAAAATGTCAACCACATCAATTTTACGTGTTGTATGTCAGAGCCCTGTTTTTTTATGCCCCCACAATGTGGGTGCATATAGCGTTGCACTTGTCCGTCCGTCCGTCCGTCCGTCCGTCAGTCCGTCAGTCCGTCCGTCCTTACGTCCCGAAATCTTGTGAACGCAACTCCTCTTAAACCGGATGGCAGATTTTGCTTAAACTTACAGGGATGAACAACCTTAATATGTAGATGGTAGTAAAGGAAGGAATTTTTGCTGTGACCAAATTTAAGAGAATTATGGCCCTTTGTTGATTTTTTTACTACATACTATATAGAAATTTTGTGAACGCAACTCCTCTTAAACCGGATGACAGATTTTGCTTAAACTTACAGGGATGAACAACCTTAATGTGTAGATGGTAGTAAAGGAAGGAATTTTTGCTGCGACCAAATTTAACAGAATTATGGCCCTTTGTTGATTTTTTCACTATATACTATGTAGAAATTTTGTGACCGCAACTCCTCTTAAACCGGATGGCAGATTTTGCTTAAACTTACAGGGATGAACAACCTTAAGGTGTAGATGGTAGTAAAGGAAGGAATTTTTGATGCGACCAAATTTTACAGAATTATGGCGCTTTGTTGATTTTTTCACTATATACTATGTAGAAATTTTGTGAACGCAACTCCTCTTAAACCGGGTGGCAGATTTTGCTTAAACTTACAGGGATGAACAATCTTAAGGTGTAGATGGTAGTAAAGGAAGGAATTTTCGCTGCGACCAAATTTTACAGAATTATGGCCCTTTGTTGATTTTTTCACTATATACTATGTAGAAATTTTGTGAATGCAACTCCTCTTAAACCAAATGGCAGATTTTGCTTAAACTTCCATGGATGAACAACCTTAATGTGTAGATGGTTTTAAAGTAAGGAATTTTTGCTGTGACCAAATTTAACAGAATTATGGCCCTTTGTTGATTTTTAGTTTTCAACTTGTGGCACATGTAGTCCAAAAAATATTTGACCTAGAGTCATAAGATTGACAGAACAGTGGCGTGTGGGGGCATCCGTGTCCTATGGACACATTTCTAGTTTCCTCTAAGGTCAAGGTCAATGTAAAAATTTGAAGGTTTTTATGCCCCTAAGAGGAGTTTGAAGGTAAACATTAGTTTCCAAACTGTAACTTTGCCATGCTTTGAATGATTTCAAAATAACTTGACATCAATGTCTACCACACCAAGATGACATGTCTCATCAAAGACACTTGTCTCAGGGAGTTAAGTTTGCTATAAATAGCTCTTACTTTCACAAGAACAAAATTAAGTAATTAGTTACTTTCATTATTTTTTTCTTTTTTATAATACCTACATGCTAAAGAGACGATTTCGGGAGCACTCGTCACTTGCGTGCTTGCGTAAGGGTTTTATATATGAACTTTTTATCACAAATATGAGGAATATCGTAGAAATGTAATACGTTTCCTAATTATTTAAGAACTTTCAGCAGGTTTCTTTTTCATTTTTATATAGAGGATTCTGAAATGTTTGGAATTCCTGTCGCCGTAAAACAGATACCAACAATGACCAACGCACGAGGCAAAAAACACGCACGAATGGTGAGTCTTTCTCTATTTGAAATGCATTCAAGTCTTTTATACAATTATTGTGTCTTTGTAAACAAAAACGTTGTTTGAATTATGTTATTTGTGTTCATTTTTTATATTTCATAGAGATTTGTAAGAACAAAATTAATGCATTCATGTAAAAATGCATTTTGTCAAACACAATTCGCTACAATTTTAGCAAAGCCTTTGTTTGACGCTAACGTTCTTCTTAATGCTTTTTATTTAAGGAAATGATGGCTAATAGACTAATGAACCCATTCATACTCCCGCTTATAGCTTCTACTAAGACATCCAATGGGTAAGCTGCAGTAAATCGTATTTTGATTTTGTTTTGTAAATAAAAAGACAAAACAAGTTCTAATAATTTTGTATAATTATTAAATAAACAAATTTGTGCTGCAAAGAAATTCTATTTATATCGCAATTTAAATATGTTCATGTTTACATAAAGAAAACAGGAATTGCAGCACCTGATGTGTTCCATGGTTGCAATTTATAAGTGTTTATTTATATGTGCAAATTACAGTGTATGTGCAATTGCATTTTGCTAAATTCAGTACAAATGAGTCATATAATTTCAAAAGCGAACTCAAGAAAGTCTCGTGTCATGTGCTCAGACGACAATGTGCCATTAAACCTCATTGTAATAGGTAAGCGAACAAGTCAAAGCGAGGTTATGGAATAATTAATATTTTATAAAGACTCAATGATGGCTCCCCATCAGTTATCGACAGTAAACTAATGTAAGTTAAGAATGCCTCAGAAACGGATCGTGCAAAAAGGTATGCACAACATCGCAAGTCTTTGGACATCTCATAAAATATTTCCAGAAACATTATGAATTGCTTGAGTATCATCTAGATTGAATTGGTTCAAAAGTGTTGAAATGATTGAGGGTTTCGGAGCGGTTTTATCTAGTTCATAAGGGAGAGGGTTACACTTTTTCATAATATAATTATCAAGGAAGGCGAATTATTAAATTAACACCAATTTTACCCATAGACGAGATATAGTTGTCCGTGTGGGAGCGTTTATAATCACAAGCACTGAAATTTACCCGAGTACCGTACGGGAATGCTGCCATCTGGGTAACGATACTACTTAAAGGTTATTCGATAAATAAATAAAAAAATACAAACAAGTATAACAAAAAATCATATAATATAAAAATAAACAATAAAAACCATCAAAATAAACCAATTAGAATTATTTTTTGACAATGCAATGTTTCTTACTGTTGGGTATAAAGACCTTTTCACTACATAATTATGATCAACAGTGAGAGCATTTTATCTCAGTTTATAGACAGTTTTGTATGAAAAGGTTTTAGAAAAAAACGTTGATATACATTCAAAACAGACAAAGACAAAAGTCACATCCCGGCCAACTATAGGCCCGTCTCACTTACATCGATAACCTGCAAGATCCTGGAACACATTGTCCACAGTAATATAATGTCACACTTTGACACCAACCATATACTGAGAGACAACCAGCATGGTTTCAGGAAACGTCGCTCATGCGAAACTCAACTTTTAACAACAGTTGACACCATCGCCAAGTATCTCTCAGCGGGTAACCAAGTAGACGCCATTCTACTCGACTTCGAGAAGGCGTTCGACAAAGTTCCTCATTCCAGACTCCTCTACAAGCTAGACTTCTATGGCGTGAGAGGTCCCTTAAACCAGTGGATCAAATCCTTCCTGAGTAACCGCAAGCAACAGGTAGTCCTTGAAGGCACCAAGTCTGACCAAGATGATGTTATATCTGGCGTTTCCCAGGGAACCGTACTAGGTCCACTTTTATTCATGGCCTACATAAATGACATGCCTGACTGAACATCATCTGACATCCGACTCTTTGCGGACGACAGCCTCATGTACAGGGTCATCAAGAGTACAAATGACAAGGCAAGGCTGCAGCAGGATCTTGAAGCACTGGAACAATGGGAACGAACCTGGCTTATGCGATTCAATGCTTCCAAGTGCTATTTATTACACATATCATCAAACAAAAAGATAGATCACCAACACCAGTATATACTTCATGGCCAAGTCCTGCAATCAGTGGACCACAGCAAATACCTTGGTGTAACTGTCTCCAACAACCTCCCATGGGACAAGCACATACAGAATGTAGCTGCCAAAGGAAACACTGGGATTTGTGAGGAGAAACTTGAAGGACTGTACACCACAACTGAAAGCAGCAAGTTACTGCACTTATGTACGCACAAGTCTTGAATATGCAGCAACGGTTTGGGATTCTCATCTTCAGACACACATAGATTCACTTGAGCAGATCCAGAAAAGGGCAGCCAGGTTTGTCAAAAATGACTATAAATGCAGAACACCCGGATGTATGACAGAAATGCTGAGGAGCCTGGATTGGAACACCCTCCAACGAAGAAGGAAGGAAGCAAGGTTAAACATGCTCTACCGCATTCAACATGACCTAGTAGACATCCCCAAGGACAAGTACCTACTACTGAGTATACAATCCAAGAAGAACACCAGTGACAGTAGAACACGTATACGTTTCTACCAAGAACGCACCACTGGCAGGATGTATACAAATACCTTCTTCCCCAGGACAATTGTTGACTAGAATGGCCCGGCACCAACAGTCACCGCCGCGGAAACGTCGGATGCTTTCCGCGCGCGCCTGCCGGCCTCCATCTTAATTCACTTCACAACGTCTCTGTAAATATATTTGTTATCAGTTTTTACAACTTTTATCGCTGAGCGGAAGAGTGTTCCATCTCACCATGTACATAGTTCTGCAGAGCCTCATTACGTTCCTTTTGGATCCCGGCTCTTATACTGGAAGAAGAAGAAGAAAGGGCGATGGATGTAAGGAGGAATAACGCACGACGCATGTAGCGTTACTTTAAAACGTTGTCATCGTGTACTCCGGTGATGAATAAAAGCATATTTCTTATATGTATATTTATAACATGTATTTGTTATTTACTTACATATTTTGGATTGTAATGTAGTTTTGTAAAGTCGAGGTGAACACTTCAATACTATTTAAACATTCACGTTGAATTTACAAAGTTTAAGCGTGTGTCAATATAATGTCCGAACAACCCTCAAATAATCCATTTAACTTAAAGAAAAGATAATGTCAGGCAATTTCTCTATACCTGATGATGTGCGTGAGAGAAATCGTACTAATATCTCTCATGTCTATTGTCAAATTAGTAATTCTCACATCTAAAGGTATGACGTTGTTAGTGTTGTTGGTGTAAATAAAGCTTATTTTATTAATTAATTGTATTAGGACATAATTAATTGTTTTAGGGCACATTGTTTGCCGACCATGTCTATAATGTTTGTGACATTAGTTTTGTCCACTTTCTACTACCAGAAAAAATTGATTAACGATGTATATTAAGGGCATGTATTTGCCAACGTTTTAGCACGCCATGTCCGATTTTAACATATTTTATAATAAACGATTTTTGTCACATTAGAGGAATTTCCGACCGCACACCTTAGTCCAATGAGCCTGTTATTTTTAAAAGTCTAATAATACTGTTAGTAATGTGCATTTGATAGGTATATTTGGTAACCTATCACACTAACAATGATTGCAGGTGCCATTCTCTTTTTAAGACGACATTTAACCTAAAGGCCTTATGTCTGGTTATTTCAGAACAAACTTTTCTTAAGAAGTTGGTAACTTGTTGCATCTCATATTGCTGACTATCATTAACGTCATCTGTTTCTTGGTGTTTCCTTACTTGGCATCTATTTGTTGATGGATGACGGCCATTAACTTTTGTAATGGCTGCTTGCTTGAGAGATATTTGCCTTATGCATGTCAATTTTAATTTATCGTCCTGCTGAAATCTTTGTTACAAGTCATGTTATATATTGTAATAAACAACTAACCAACTGAAAAGAAATCAGAAATTGTTTTGAAGAATAGGGTATGTAACTACATTGCATTGAAAGTGGCTGACTGTCATGCGTATCTTAGTGTACTTAGTGCACGAATTGCTCACTGTACTTTTCCTAAAACTAATGTTCACTGTTCGATTAGTTTCAATAAACGTTTAAGTATGCTTACCAACGCATTCATAGTATCGATTAAACTGGCGGAATGGTATGTTTAAAAAACTAGGTGTTGTGATTATTTTTATCATGTGCATAAATGTATGTTATCTAATAATATGTATAAATATGTAAATGAGTCCAAATTCTATTTTATAAGTCTTTTGTTTATCCAGAGACATTTGGTTAATTACTCCCTATTGTGAAAATGGTGATCTTGAAAAAGCTATTAAAGACGGTAAAGATAGTAAAGATAAGATGGAAATTAATATGCAGAGGACACGAGTAAGGATTGCGCTGCAAATTGCATTAGCAATACAGTATATTCACACTGAAGTCCCAAATGTTAGGTATCCATTTTGTTTTATGTCTTTTCGAGAGATAACATTTTACTGCTCTTATGAGAGTTTATTAAGTTACAGCAATGTCTCTAGTTTTGTCCCCCGCCTTTTCAAAGAAAAAAAGGGGATATAGAAATAGGCTCCGTCCGTCAGATGTCCGTCTGTGCGTACAAACCCAGATGTACGTGTGTGACTTGGAGAACGGTACTTTTCACTTTGAGAACGGTACTTTTCCTTTGATCCTATTCATTCCGTTTTTACTTGTGTTTGTCTTTTTTAGGCCTTGTGCGACTAGAAATGGCTGAACAGATCAAAGGAAAAAATGTCATATAAGTACCATTTTGTAAGTATGTGCGTCCGTCTGTCCGCACTACCGGATAGGGAGAAGGGGCGATCACACTGTAAACAGAACAAAAGAGGACAATACAGTTCATTCCGTAACAGTAGAGAAAGGGGCTATTGGCCCTCTATTAAACAAACGAAAATAACGACAGAAATAGCCCCTTATTCTATTTCGGCCGTCCGTCCTTCCGTCCGTCCGTCCGTCAAACTTTTGTGTCCGGTCAATAAGTTTGTCATGTATCAAGGAATTTAAAATGACGATGTGTCATGCGCAACAACCAGACCCTTATCCCCAGCGTCGGGTCAAGGTCGCACTTGCTCATTCAAGGTCATCATTGTCTATTTGAGGGTATATGTCGTGTCTGGTTCATTACTTTCCTAACTTTAAAGGGATTTTGTAAATACTTACTACAATTAATGACAATTATGAGGCAATGTGTCATACGCAACAACCTGTCATCTACCCCCATGGTCAAGGACACACTAAGAGGTCAAAGATAAACTGAGTCTGTTATAGGTAAGGCTCCCACGTTTACAATTTTTTGTAAATGTTTACACGATTGCTAAGAACCGAAACGATACCGTTTAAACGGCGGTACTTCTACATGCTATACTACACCATGTATCGAAGTCGCCAAATGATGGCTTAGATCTACTTTCTATTTTAACACAAGTATACAAATGATAATGTTCAGGGCTAATAACGATTGAGTCGGCACACATTTTCTGCATTGTATCTATATTTTGCTCTTTTGAAAGATCAAAGGAAAACCACCTTTCCAAAAACGTATTATGTCACGAGCGATTATTGCACGAAAATCCTGTGTGGGGGTTGTAAATACCTATTTCTCGTATTTTACTTTGAAATAAACCAGTAACAATTGATGGAATTCATGATTACAGGCAATGATTAAGATATTTTTAAGACAATATGGTCATTTCGATTAAACTGAAAATCGAAACGAATCCGTTTAAACGTGTAACCGTGGGGGCCTTAGTTATAGGGTATATTTTTGTGTCCGGTCCATACATTTTTCATTGATCAAAGTATTTTGAAAATACTTGGACAAATTGTCATATTAATAAGACAATGTGTCACGCGCAACAACTGCATCCCTACCTCCAAGTTCAAGGTCACATTTTGAGGTCAAAAATTAACACAGTATAGGGTATATTTTATGTCAGGTCTAAAACTTCTTCATAGATAAATGGGTTTTGATAATACTTGGCACAAATAGTCACAATAATAATATGATGTGTCATGCGCAATACCTGCACCCCTACCTCAAAGGTCAATGTCACACCTAGAGTTCAAAGATTAACATAGTCTGTTATAGGGTATAGTTTGTGTCCGGTCTATAACTTCTTCAAAGATCAAGGGATTTGTAAATACTTGGCACAAATGTTCTCTAATGAGACGCTATGTCTTGTGCAATAATCAGTCGCCTACACTAAGGTCAAGGCAAATATCTTTTGAAATATTGATCAGATAATTGTATTTCTATTGACACCTACGGTACATAGGAATTATTTCATTATTTCATTATTAAATAAATTTATTGTTGTATTGCAGATCTAGCATTAATAAAAATTTAACTAAAAGTCCTGATCCATACCTCAATCTTTTGAAATAGCACAATGGTATGTTTCATATAATACTTCCCTAAGACTGGGGACATTGGTTACTCTGTTACAAATTCTTGGGTTATCAAAGGTTAACTCGACACGTGTTTTTTAAATGTTGTCTGAGATAATCAATGTATGCCTAACTATCATTTTACTTTTTGTCAAGAAAATCAATATTCAAGGGACGCCGCTGACGTTTTAGACATGAAGGGACTTAAAATATTTTTGCAATACTTCATATTATTAATTTCCCTCCGTTTGCCCACTGCTTTTCACTCAAAGTTGGCTACAAACAGTGTAAAGAGGTTAAGGTTACTTTTGTTAATTCTTTTCCGGAAATATTTCTGGAAATATTTTTCAAGACTTAGAGATGTAGGTCCCAACAAAGCGCATGTACGCACAATTTAAGATAATTTCTTTCTGGCTACAAATACTAAAGAATAAAGCTTGAGGTTATTTCAGTAATAACTTCCAGTGGATCTCTCAAATTATGCAAGAGTTTTTAGATTCTATATTTTTAGTTTATTACCTCAGAGAAGCTCCATTTATGCACTTTTGTTTTTCAAATGATAATTATGTGTTTTATTTTTTTTTTTCATTGCTATGTTTAGGGGTTCTATTCTTCATAAAGACGTAGCATCTTCAAATGTTGTGTTGGATAAAAATCTAAATGCACGTCTTATAGACTTCGGACTGGCCAGAGAAAAGAATGATCCATCGAAAACCTACTCAGTAAAGGAAGGTTATATACATCCTCAAAAAGGTCATGGGGATCCCATTAAAGAGAGCTTAGATTATTTTAACTTTGGAATAAGTAAGTTTCATAGCATTCAAAATATATAGCCTTTGTTAATCTATTGGTGATAATTCATGAACTAATTAAGTCCGTTAAAATGATCACGCATCAATTATTTTTTGCTTAACATGTTTGTGATAAGGGCCTTACATTGAGATCATTTTCTTTACACCTGGCTATTTCCAATACTTACAGATAGGAAATATTATTTAAATAATATAATCTTACAAGGTTTTATTTAATTATTTACTATTAAGACTGATTGTAATTATACCAATTAATTTTATCATGTACTGTAAAGTTTAAGTGATAGATCATTTGGTTGGATGTCAGATAGACATTACATAAATGTTTGGGTTTTATTTGAATTAAATTCAAGTGGACAATTTAGGTATTACTATAAAACGAACCTTAAAGGATCAGAGACAAGTCAGTTTTTCATTGTAGATTTATTGACGACTTGTTCTGTTCTTTACAACATTCAAATTTACAAAGTAACCGACGTTAATATACTTTTCTGTGTAACATAATAGTGGAGAATAGTTTTACATTCCCGAGAGTCTCTCTGTCAAGTGCCATTTAATCCTTGATGAATAAAACTATTTTCTTTTAATATTTTGGCGCATGACACATTCTCTGCCTTATGTTGATCAAAGAAACACGCGGTTTCCTTTCAAAAGTTTGATGAACAATACTGTTGTATCATCTTAGTCAATTTAACTATGACCTGAATATAATACGTGAAAAACAAAACAATGGAAAACAAAACGTAACATCTCACCATGAACCATTAAAACTCTCAATGCATTTGGACTTAAAATTGTATTGTATAGAGCATGTGATTATAGATCGTACTTTAAAATCTCAACATGTCTTTTATCTACACAATGTTCTGTTTTTTTATCTTTATCAGTTATTCTGGAACTGTTGACAAGTCTTGGACCTTTAGGAGAAAAACAATTCCACTTAAGGAACATGGATAACAAACAGATTCAAGATAAATTGGATGTAAGTTTCCCGCTTTTTCCTCCAGGTGAGGTGGTTTGATCCATGGAGTTTCCTAAAGTATGTAACGCCAGAAGTTAGCAAAAACAATCTTACCTGTTTCGGCGCCATATGACTCATATTGTGTTGGTGAGCCGTAAAATCAAACAAAACAAACACACATTAGTTTTATATGATAGAGGCTTTATGTTTGTTTTGCATGTAATATCGAAATATATTAGACAAATTAAGGACCAAATGCAATAGTTTTCGAGTTGCGCTATCGTGAGTGAGAGTAATTGACAGCTCGTGCTTAGGAGTAAAATGCAAATTGATCATGCACGCAAAACACTCAAATGGTCTATTTATCATTCATTTTGTACATAATGAATTACTACAAAAAGTACAATATAATGTATATCGTGGGCCGGAGGCCTTTAACTACAATAAAACGTATGTTATGTTATGTTACTAGCCCAATTTACATTTTTGAACATTTAACAAATATTACTATTGTAAAATTAAAAGGAATAAGTTTACTTACTGTCTACATGCTTTTCAGAAGAAAGCGAAATTGTATTTTGATACTTTTACAATTATCAACACATAATTACCCAGTACCTCAACTGTTGAGAATTCGAGAAAAAAGAATACACTTTTATTTTTAACATGAACATTGTTACGCTATCTTATGGAGAGCGCATGACTTGATGGTGCAAAATCATTTACGAAAACATAAAATAGATAGACCATTTGAGTGTGTGGCATAAATGATTCATAAGAGTCACACAAATACATGTATATAAATAATGCATTATCAACATACTTTACCTCATTTGCATACGCCCTTCTATGTTTAATATGACGTCATCCGGTCCATATATCGCATACAGACCGGCTACCTAGTCCCTAATTCTTATTTTGATTGGATGACGTCGTATGGATTACAGTAGGGTGAACGTTTCAGTTGTCAAAAAAAGGCGTTTTTCGTTCGTGCGTTTTTCGTAAACGTTTTTGCGTATATCGTGCAACGTGCGTTTGTTGAAACGTTTTCTCAAGCGTGCACCATTTACAAGCGTTTAACGTTAACGGTTTTTCGTGTATCGTGTTTCGTCTATCGTGCGTTTGAAAGCGTGCTTGTGTTATTCCCAGAAAAGTTTTGTTTGCGTCTGCGTTCGTCTAAACGTCTAAGTACTGTGCTTTGCGTCTGTTAATATTGAGAAGTGAAATAATATCTTAGATAGATATATTTTGTAAATTTTGGGTTTCTTAAACATGTAAAAGATGTTCAGTGTCCCTGTCAAACAATAGAAGTATTATATAAAGAAACTTTATTATGATATTTACATTAAAGTTTAAAAGTTTGTGACTTCTTGGTTAATACCAGAATTCTATGTGCCTTACGCCGAAGATTACTTTTAATCCTATTTTACATACGCATATTATATTAAAATTTTATTACTATTTTATTGCAACATTTTTGATATTCAGTTCAGCAAACATGTGTTTTTATTCGTACTAATATATCCGATATGACGTTCGCCAGACATCATATGAAATGATAATCAGACTAGCACTCCCCCTCCCTCTTTACCAGTTCATCTTCTGACGTTTCATCAAAGACTGGCCGAATCCTTTTTACTTTAAACAGTTCCTACCCATTTTTCGTAACAGATATATATTGATATGTAACAGCCTGGCAGGGACTCAAACACCCTGACACTCGGAATACAATTCCGGGGCTCTTCCCTCTGAGCTATTCGGCCGCTTACACATTTAATGTGTCGAAATACTGAATAGTTATAAACCTACTGTATATGCAAATATTTCATTGAATCCCCCAGGATTACTTAGCAATGAGAATTAGTTTCTAGCTGGGCTATATGTCAGTCACAGGGTGAGTAATGTGCAGCCTGATATGGACTTGTATCCGTGACTCTCAGAATACCCTAACGCGGCTGAACCGACTGAGCTGTCCGGCTGCTTACACATTTTATGCGCTTAATAGTGAACACCTCTAAATCGTGAAAAGTACGGTTAAATAATTTAAAAAAACAAAACAAAAAAAAAAACAGCTAAATAAATTATAAATTAACAAAAATTAGAAAAAAATAAACAACAAAAACAAAAACACACACACACATTTTTTTTTTTATAATTATTTTTTACTAAAACGGGAAGAGACATATACATATATAGTGAAAAATTTACAAATACATTGTACTTTTTCTATATTTGGTACAAATTAAAATAGCTAGCCTTTTTTGTAGATAAGAAAATTCTATGGTGGTTAATATGTACCATATTGTACTTTTGCTTCCCTAGGTACCATTCCTATTATGTACAATATAAACAGTTACAATTATTTTAGCACTCTTTTAAAATTGTCAATCCTTCGTTCCCCATCCCGTTCGGTGGTTACATTTTTAAAGTTCAATACATCTTTATCTTATATGAGGTCCCTAATATAACCCACTTTGATATACATATATAGCTCATTTGATTTTTATTCTGTACATTATCTCATATCACTTTTACGGTTAATTGATCCGTACTCATTACTTAACATAATACCCCTTTGAGATACCCGAGATGAGCCCGTGTCGCACTTTATTAACTTAAAAGTATATAACCTGTCCTTATATAACCATATAATTCTTTGAAGATTTTTCCAGCTAGGATGCTAGGAATTCTGTAGTCCCAAGTCACTTTTTTAACTTCCCTCAAGTAAGTTATAGACCTCATAACTGTATAACCATAATATCACTTACTTAAATAAATGTATAGGAACATGTTATTTGGTACCCATTTTGCATACTTATATCCCTTGCGACCTATACAATTTCAATTGATTGTAGTTTTTAATTTTCCTACAATATCAACTTCAATTCATAAAAAGAGCATAATACGAGATCTCTATGAAAAGTAATGTAATTTGATAACACAATCCAAATAAACTTTATTAATTAAAAGCTTTAATTAGATGACTTTAAAAGCAAGATTCAAATAATTTTTGATTAAAAATACAATGTTATAGCAAATTCCATGTGGACCACAACTATTAAAGAAAGCGCATAAAATGTCGATACACTGGGTAATTTTACCTTAAACTTTACCTCTTAGTAAATGAAACAGAGTTTTTAAAATAACATAAATATATTATATTAATCAACAAGCATATTAAGTTGACTAAAATAAGTGAGTCCTACCAAATTTCATTACAAAATATAAGAACTATGGGAAATCCCCTAAGATGCCTAACTGAGTCACTCGTGGCCACGACATAGTATCTCGTGGCCACGACCTAGCTATCTCGTGGCCACGACTAAGTAACTCGTGGCCACGACATAGTATATCGTGGCCACGACTTAGCTATCTCTTGGCCATGACTAAGTAACTCGTGGCCACGACCTAGCTATCTCGTGGCCACGACTTAGTAACTCGTGGCCACGACATAGTATATCGTGGCTAAGATTTAGCTATCTCGTGGTCACGACCTAGAAGCTTGTGGTCACGAAATAGTATCTCGTGGCCACGAGATAAATAAAAACACACACATGTCTTCTTTGTGCCACCGTAAGTAACAATTACATCCGTTTGATTAATATGAAAAGAAAACACCCCAAATTTTATTGAAAAATAATAAAAGGTATGGCAAATTTTCTATAATCCCCAAAACCAGGACAGACAGAGGTGTTCTGACCCACTATCAGTAAGGAAGTGTTCCCGTCCCTGTCCCTGTACTTATAATTCAATAGTTTATTTGCAGTAAAGGTCTTATGACTATAACTGACATTATATATGGAATCACAAAAAGATACTGTAAACTTATTTATTCAATTCTTTATAGTAAAGTCACAGCTCAGAACTGTTCACTATTGAGAGGAGAAGATTTGCAAGTGGACTGGTAGCTTAGTCGGTAGTCAGCTGCGACATAGTATATCAGGAGTCCCTGGCTCAAGTCCAAGGCAGGCTGCATATATTTCTTACCCTTTGACATTTGACTCCCAACAGTTAGTAATAAAACAATGTGAAATTGGCCTTGGAGTTTCATACCATCACCTATTCCAAAGGGGACTGTGATGGATGGTATAAAACTCCAAGTCCTATTTCACATTGTTCACTGTACCCATTCAAGGACGAATTTCAATAAAGCAGGGGGATATGTAATGGTTCCGAACTGTTCAATATTTAGGGAGATGATGTGTTATCAGCCTAATACAATATATATCAGTCGGTTGAGCTGCTGAATGGTATTCCGAGGGACCCGGGTTCAAGTCCTAGTATGGCAGCACCTATTTTTTAACTTGTGACAGTAACAAAAAAGGAAGGTATTAGACATTTAATGTTGCTTAATAATAATATAGCATATTAAAACATATTAAGTGCATATATTATAAAGTCAATAAATTTCAATTTAAACTGCTATGAAACATATATTCTAATGCGCCGCTCTTTTGGTAAATTCATATACTTTACAGTTTACACATGATTCACAAATTATTGAAGTCCCACATTCCTCCCCTCCTGGCACTTATTGAGGTGCATGAGGTTGATAGGTTTCTTCATTTTCCTCATTTTTTTCTCAGTTACAGTTTCGGGCATAAAATAAAAGTTTATTCTTAATATTATACTCTTATTCATTAAATTTCATAAGGCTTGTGTGGACACATCACCAATGTAATTGTTACATAGTATAAAATACATAAAATAAAGGTTCTAATTAATAAACCAGTTTTCATAATAATTAAAATAAATTAGCTTTATTCAATATTTTTCACACTTCTTATTGTTTAATAAGTAAAACATTTTATGTTTTATGTAAAACATTTTTTAATCAATGTTTTTTTATGGTATTCAATTTTTTGATAACAAAAAAAGAGAATAAATACATACATGTAAAAATTATTATGTTAAATTATTCTTTAATATTAGCGCATGGTAGCTTATAATTTCAAAAATCATTAGTGGAGACTGCACTACAAATTTAAACATAATTTAGTGCCAGGTTGAGTGCATTACAGGTCTATCATAAGCCCGTTTAAAATACATGATTGTCTAGCTATCATTTTATCAAATCGCTAAACGATCTAGCTAAAGTTGTTAAAAACTTACATGATAAGGATATTTAATTAAACGTTAAGAAACGTTTTCTATTTTGTATTAGTTTTAGCGTGCGTATATCGTTTAGCGTATTTCGCTTAGCGTAAATCGTTTTGCATGCGTCTGTGTATTTCGTTTCGTAACGTTCGTTCGTAAAGCGTGTAACATGCGTGCCTTTTTTTCCGGAGCGTGCGTTTTGCGTGTAAACTGAAACGTTTACCCTGCTGTACCACTTCTAATTTGATGCCATTAAAATACCAGCGTTCGTAGTTACACAATGGACCACTTTTTCGAAAAACCATGATTTTAGATTTATCGGTGTTTAATTGTAGTCCACTATTATTGCAAAACGTTTCTATGGTATTTATATGTCTTTGTAAGTTTTTAGCTGTATCTGCAAATGTTGATTGTGGTTATATGTATGTATGAAATTAAATTGATTTAAATATCATTTTATGTTGTAAAAGAGGCGAAATGAAAATGCTAATAATTAATTATTAAGTAATCTGTAATGAATGAACGACTATTGAAAGAACTATAAGACATTGAACTTTATTTTTATATTTGATTTTCACTATTTTAAATGAAGAATTGATTTTGTATTGCTTTGATTACCATTAACATGAACAAATTGAATATTTGAATAAAACAAAAATTATGAAAACCATTTTTGTGTACGCCATTAACCTAAAGTGAGGCAAAAGACTTGTTTTGTTTTTTTTCAATTTCCTTATACACACGTATTATTATTTATTCATTTTTATTTTTTTAATGTCACGCCTACACAACACACACCTCAAGATAAATGAGAAAAAAAGATCATCGAAATGACAGGACATTGAACTATCTACTATGATTTTCTCAATTTTATGCGCAGAATAGTACTATCGAAAACAGTTACTGTGATTTCGAGCAAAGCACATAAGGAGTGCATTAAGGAGGTATGCGTTTCGAATGATCCACGCAAGTAATTGAAACGATTTATAACAAGTTATATGTATATAATTGTATGCTTGTATCACCTTTTTGCAGACAAAAGTTTGGAACGATAAAGAAATAACGAAAAAGCTGTATGAAATGTCCAAGAAGTGTTTGAAGGAATTTAAATGGACTATTGGAGATTTTGAAACAAATGTCATTGAACAATTACTAGTACGTTTTTAAACCATTTGTGTTTTGAACAGTTTTATACTTACCTTAAAGAATTTGATGCAAAGGCTTTATCAATGACATGTTACACTAAAGAAGTTCTTATGTAAAGTGATAGTGAAAATGTTTTTGACAGGTCATTTTTGTGTGTACTTTAAAACACTGCATGCAAAAAAGAACTTTCATTGGATGCTTTGGACTTAGCTCATATCTGAAAACTAAACATAAGGGCTTTAATTCTTATTAATTATTTGCATTACAACTATGACTTAGTAGACTTTTGCAGGATTTTTTTTAATTGTGGCGTAAATTTAAAACTTCAAGAAATACTATATTATTGTGATCTTGGTTCTTTCGATTTAAGTGTCGCCTGTGTTAATTCTGTACAGGGGAAATATTTATGGGTTGAAAATACCTGTTCGCTCTGTATCTTTTGTTTCAATAGAAAAACAAACCTTTCAAGCAGAAATATTTCTTATAATGAGACAAAGTGCTGAAAAAAGGTTTTGGACTTCTTGAGCTCAAAATTAGCCTCAGCCCAGGGATAATTTGACTGATAGATACGTATATAGGAAAACACATAGTGTGAAACTATAATGTCTAAAACTTAAATATGTAGCATGTATTATTACCCTATTAACCTTAAAAAAACTGATATTAAACATTCCCATGACAATAAAAAAAATATTCCAAAGGATGTTTAATTTAATCAGGTCGTAAAGTTTTAAAAGGATAAAACAGAAATTCTATATTGTTTTTATTGCAGGATTGTAGGTTAATTTACCATGAATTAATTTAATACTAGTTTTTGTTATTGAAATATCAACTTTTGTTTCAGAAAATACTGTGGAAAGAAGATATTGATATATATGAAAGTCAAGAGGAATCATGTCATCATTGTATCATAAATCCAATCAGTAAGTTATTTTGCAAAGGCTTATTATGTCTCAGAAACGATTTTGTTTAACAACCCGAGTTTAAAGATGCATAAATAATGTTTGAAGGCCGTGTTAGCTGCTTATTACTAAAATAAAGATGTTGTTGTATTTGAATATTAAATATCAAAGTAGCAAAAATGTGATCAAGTAAGTATTTGGCTTCCATACACAATGATTAATCACCCCTAGTCAATTGAATACGAAAAGGCAACAAAAACAAAAAAGGGTTAAGGTAATCGGCTTCTGAATAAATTGTGGAAATCAAAACTTTCGGGAAATAGAAAAAAAAATAAACGTTTAAACATAACACGCCGTTAACAATCGTTATCTTATAAATATATAAATAAACACACTCTATTAAATTAATTACAAATTGCATTGTTATAATATTTCAAAATTACAATATCATATAATCAAATTGAATGAATTATCTTGAGACAAAAAACGTGGAGCTATTGTTAGGACCCTCTCGTTGGCATTGACGCTGGTTAATCTTTAAACCGTTTATCTTCTCAGAAATATCCAAGCTAATCCATTCAAACTTAATGTAGTTGTTTGCTATATACATACTACTAAAGTTAGTTTTGTCATATTTTGCTTCTGTTGTATATCACGTTTATCTGGATAAACTTTTTGTTAGGTTGACTTTTCTTAGAAATTTATACAGTTATGCACACTAATCCTAACAATGAGAATGAGACATCTAAACAAAATGCCATAATATAAAAATATATCTATTACGTAACAGAATTATGTCCTTTATACTCAGAGATTTTAACTTTAATAGTTTCAAAACTATTTTAGGTTCTAAAATCTAACTTCGAATACTAACTTATTATTGATATATAAGAAAAACAGGTCATCTTATGATTCACTTTTTGCTGGATAATGCCCTATAAGAATTTATTGCTTTACGAATCATTTATATGTCAGCATTCACTATCTTAATAACCAATTATTTTTATTCTGATCGTGTATAATTATAGACTTAATAAGCTTTTTCGAAAATTAGTTTGTATACGATAAGAAATTTTGTATTTTTGTTTTAAATACAACACCCTTAGTCAAGTTTGATCTACTTAGCATCACCTTTTATTAATGTGTCCGAACAATGTCATAGAACAGCAAATTGAAGACATCAAAAAGCGCAAAATGTTATTTTTACTTAATCAATTACTGTTACAAAATGTAGTGTATAAGGTTTTAGGACCAATGTTTTTAAAAATAAATTAATATTGCTTTAATATTGCTTTCATCACAATTGAGATACAAATAACAGACGTTTAAGATAGATAGATCTAGTAAGTTAAAAGGTAGATCTAGTAAGTTCAAAATAATATCATATACTTTTTAGCTCACCTGTCACAAAGTGATATTGTGAGCTTTTGTGATCGCCTTTCGTCCGGCGTTAAATTACAAAGAGAGACAAAGTTTTTTCTTTGGCAACTTGGAGAGATAACCTTAGGTTTATGCAATTGTTCCTAAAGTTAACATTTTACTTGACATTCTGACTACATATATAAACTTGAAAATATAAATGAAAATCCAATGGGAAAAAATAAGGTTCATTTTGAATAAAATTGCATGTGTTTTTAAAGTTGCGAGCATTAGATGATACATTCTTCAATTTTTCAGTTATGAGTATGTGCTTCAGTGTTTAATGTTACATTGAATAATGCTTTATATAAAAAATCTAATCAACATGTCTGCAAAACATTTATTTTGAAACTTTATAATTAGATTTTTTCTTAAATATTTTTATGTGATAAAACAATGACTTTTTAGAATGTCTGATTTCTAGTATGATATGCAAATAATTGTCAATTTTGTATAAATCAACATGTCGGTTTCCATAGAAAAGTTTTCTTTTAAAAACATACTAAAATACGGTTAAAGTTACAGCTTTTTTATAATATCATCCTATTTTTTCAAACATAGCAATTATTGATTATTCTTTTGGCCTCATTGAACCCACTTTGTAAATGTCACATTGGGCTAAGTCGAGTTAGACAAGCTTTGCTGAAAATTTATCATTGAAATTTGGTGATTTATAAGTGGAAAAGTGATCTAACTCATATCTTTGCAAATATCTTTTTTATTTAACAATATTAATTTATGAAACTCCTTTAAACTAAAATTTTAATTTATATGGATATAAAAAACTAAAAATAATAATAAAAATTTCCAATGTATAGAATTAATTAAGCTTTTATAGCCTCCATAAAATTTTGTAAAAATCAAGTTAGACCAGTGTTGCGTTCAGCCATCGATATATGGGCCAAAATAAAAAAAAATGTGTAAAGGGATTACTCCATCAATTATTGAGAAAGTGTAACACACATGTACATTATCATGAGACCATCTGTGACACTTGTAATTTAAGTCAATATATGCCAGGTCATGGTCACTAAAGTTGATGAAATTCCAGAGCATATCTCCTACACACATTAAGGAATTTTTATTATACTGAATTACATAGAAATGTTCACCACTTTGAGAAGCAGGTAGCTTGAGAAAACATTAAAAAGAGGCGAACAGCTGATGACGTAACTAAAATTTTGATGACACTTAAACTTTAATACATTATAACTTTAACAGAAAAGCTTTTTGAAGGTATGGTTTGGAATATTTAATGACAAAATGTTGACGTTTACGAATCGTATGAAAAAGATGATGAATTATTATGAGAAAATATAAGTTTGTGTGACTTTAAACTAAAACTACCGCATCTCATCGGATAGTGTGGTTATTTTCAGTCAAAATGCACGTGAAGTAAAGCTTGCACAAGGTCAGAAATGTGTAAGCATGCTCCTTTGGATGTTTACTATGAATCCATAACATTGATTTACTCGAACACAGTTTGGATATGTTAAAAAAGATGAATACTTACCGTACGTCAATTGTTTTCCCTGCGCCGACATGTATATACTGGTACAGCTGTCGGCGCCTGAACAGCTGTCTGCCCATTTGACATCTATAATTACGAAGACCAAATATCAATTCGCTGTAGTTTTAAACAAACACTTGCTGTCTCATATAAACAATTGCATTTTCAGCTAAAAATTCTTCGTTGACCGGTCACTATGCCAACTGCAAACAGAAGATAGAAGTATGTATTGCTTGCGAGAAAAATAGTATTCTATACCCAGTAACATGTTATTGTGGTGCGACATTGAAATCCAAGATAGGTATGATTATTCGAGTACATGTACATATTAATATATTTTTAGTGTATTATTTTTTGTCATATATTTAAATCGCTCATGTAGGCAAATTTACAAATAAAAATATTTCTGTTAAAAACAGACCGACTGTTTTCAATCACTGTAACGGAACAATTTTGTCCTACTGTCTGTTGTCTTTAAAAAGGGAGGGAGGGTCCGTTGCTGTGTGGTTAAGGTCACTAACTTCAAATCAGTTACCACTCACCTCAGTGGGTCCATAACCCGTTTGACTTCATTGTTTTTATTCAGTTAAACTATACAGCTAGATAATGGAGGTCGGTTGTTCTACCCCGGTGCTCGTGTAAAACATACTGGATGAAGGAACATCTGAGTCTTTCTTCAATCATAAAAGCTTGAAAGGCACTTTATGACATTTACAGTGTTGGCCTGGCTTAAATCAATCAAAACAAACACAATTTTAATGAAGAAGTATTTTCCAAGGAAAATATTGATGTCAGGCATTATTTGTCTGTTTGGTTTTGCGGCGCACCAACTCCAATTAAGGTCATGTGACACCGAAACTGGAAAGATGATTTTATCTAGCCCCTGGTGTGGCAGACTGACTGCAACACAAGTGTTAAAAATCATCTCACTTGATGGAGATGAACACATCCAAGTAATAAACAAAATAAGTCGCCTCTTAAGGTCACGCAGAGATAAACAGGGGTGGCAATTCTGAGGTCCTTCTTTTCTCAAGAGATTTTTATACAACTTTGACATAATCTTTCTCATCAAGATCCCTGGCGCATATTTTCGTGGTTTAATCATTTGATATGTTTTGTCTGAATTATGGTTCTGTATTGTTTTATGTGTTTTTTTAGCTCACCTGACCACAAAGTGGTCAAGGTGAGGTATAGTCATTGGGCTATGTCTGGCGTCCGTCGTTGTGCATCGTTCGTCGTCAACAATTGGGCTAACAGTCTAAGAGTTACAGTTTTGATTGGATAATCATCAAACTTCAGAATGTTGGTCTAAATGAAATACAGGTCGAGTTCGAAGATGGGATATCTCGGGTCAAAAGCTAAGTCATAGGAGCTAAAAATAGAAAAAGCTTGTCAACACTCTAGTGGCTGCAGTTTTGATCAAAATATTTTGGAAATTTGTTAGGAATGTTGTTTTGATGATTTCTAGTTCAAGTTTAAAGATGTGCCATCTCCGGTCAAAAACTAGGTCATATGAGCTAAAATATAAATATAGTGTCAACAATTTAGTGGCTGCAGCTTTTATCCAAATATTCTGGAAATTTATCTCAGGAAGTTTGGTAATGATGATTTCTAGGTCAAGTTCGAAGATGGGTCGTCTTCGGTCAAAAACTATGTAACATGAGCTTAAAATAGGAAAAATAAAGATTGTTAACACTCTTGCGACTGCTGTTTGTATTCAAATATTCTGGAAATTTATCACAGGAAGATTGTTATGATGATGTCTAGGTCAAGTTCGAATATAAGTCATCTCCCGCCAAAAACTAGGTAACAGAAGCTAAAAATAGAAAAAGCTTGTTAACACTCTAGTGGCTGCAGTTTTGATCTAAATTTCCTGGAAATCGGTCAGGAAGGTTGTTTTGATGACTTCTAGGTAAAGTTCGAATATGGGTTGTCTCCGGTCAAAAACTAGGTCACACTGTCCAAATATAGAAATAACCTTTTTAACACACTAACTTAGCCAGGGTGTTTGTCTGATACATTGTTTGGATGCGATGGATTGGTCAAGGGAGCGATTTCCTTTTATTTATTTATTTTTTTTTTTTGGGGGGGGGGGGTGTTACATCACATCAACACAGTATAGGTCATATCGCGACGTTCCAGCTTTACTGGTGGAGGAAGACATCAGGTGCCCTTCCGTGCATTATTTCAGGTACGAACGGGCACCTGAGTAGAACCATCGACGTTACGTAAGCTAACTTGATAGCTTCCTCACATGAAAGAATCCAAAGTCCCTGTCGGGATTCGAAACCACAGCGGTGAGGGGCAAGTGTTTTTAAGTCAACGACCTTAATCACTTAACCACTTAACCTACATCTAACTAAACTTCATTATAGTTATTCAGCGGGGACCATCTAGCTTCATGCCCACCTGCAAGCTCATCTGCCTCTTTTTGGGTATCATACAGTCGAAAAATTCTGTCATTTTCAATAACTGGGTTAAGAAATGAGATATTTTAATTAAACTTGGTGTAAAGCAAGCTTATGTAAAAACCTTGATTTTGGATAACGTTTGGGTCCCTTAAATCTCAAGGTCATTGTTACTAATAAAGTCAGTTTCCGGTTAATAATCAAAGTTTCAATGACATACTTCAATGAATCTAAGGGTATATAGCAAGGTGATGAAAAGACCTTCCTTACGATTGCTTTTTGGCCATCTGGGTCATTGTCAAGGTCATCGGTACTAAAATAGAAAACCAGTTTAAGGTTAATAACTTCAGTTTAGAATGAGATATTTCAATGTAATTTTACGTATAGAAAGCTTATGTAAAGACCTTGTTTTGGATAGCTTTTAAAATCCCGTATGATCAAAGTCACTGTTACTTAAAATAGTAAAATCGGTTTCCGGTCAATAACTAGAGTTTGGACCGGGATATTTCAATGAAACTTGGTGTATGGAAAGCTTTTGTAAAGCTTTGGTTTGTGATCTCTGTTTGGTTCATGATAAGCAAGAAAATGCCACTGTTACTTAAAACAGAAAATTGGTGTCAGGTCTATTACTAGATTCTTGAATGAAATTTTAATTAAACATGTAAATTATTCCTACAGTACTTGAACGTCTCAATTCGGATTACTTATGAGCTTCATAGGGTCGTTGTGACTGTTTCAATGCACAAAATTATATTGTAGGTTGCTTGCTAGATTATGTTAGCAAACATTTTGTATAATTGAGATTACAGTGTTATTTCTCTTTATTGACACTTAATGTAGTATATTATGTTAAGTATGAGCGAAGCGCTAAAAAGGTGTTGGAGCACGACATTATACACCACATTACGGTATATACCGAACAAAGTGCTTGAATGATTAAATTCTAAAAATGTCGCCTTTTCACCCTGCAAATCGCATTTTAAACGTCTAATTTATCTTTTACACCGATTTATGTACGATCATAAATGAAAATTGTAAGGACGTGACGGAAATGCAAAATTTTAACCAGATTTTAAACAAAATCGGTTATTGTAATGATTGGCCTATTCACAGTAAACGTGGGTAGCTTATACCAAGACGCTACCCAGGATTACTACTCAGGTGGCTATGATGAAGGTCACATTAAAACGTGTCGTTTAAAACCTGGTTTCGTCCCAAGGCGGCGTTTCTTGTATATATTCATTTTAAATGATATTATTTTGTTTTCTTTTAGATTAACTTTAACTGACGGCAAAATATAATTATTATTGACACTTTTGTTGAAATCATTGAACATTTATACATCAAGCGACCAACAAAACTATCTAATCAATGTGTAATAACAGTCTTTGATTACTTTATCATAAAAAGATGGTATTGCACATTAATTTTTAACCCGCTACGAGAAAAATAACGTATTGGTTTGAAAAGCATTTAGAGGACCCAAGCAAAACATGCATTTTGTGTATTATATGAACATCATTCAGTATATACTACATCTGCTCTATATGCTATGATTATTCTTGGTATTCTCTAGGTTCTTCTTTTGAAACTTGTGATAAGCCATGATATATCTTATACAATTTCTTTTTTCGCTATCAAAGGCAGTAATTGGGGAGCATTACTTGTTGCTGGCGATGATGAAAATCCGGAGAAAGCAGCAGCCATGAAGAGAGAAATACTAGAGTTAGAGAGAGTAGTTACCTCAAAGGCACCACGTATTATTGGTATAAGGTAATCTAGTATTTACAGTTTAAACCTCTAAACTTGTGAGATCTGTTTAATAGCTTTGTTAATTTTTCTCTATGTCTATCTATCCACTATTTGTTAAGGGATAAACAAATTAATAATTGTTATATACTATTTCGTCGAAATTAAAGTTAATGTTTCTTCTGTAATAACCAGACTGCTTTTTATGATAAATAACAATTAAAGGAAATGGAAAAAGGAACGGAATTCTATTAAATCAATTTTGTCATTTGGATTAAAATAAATGGTTATACATTTACAATAATTTACTATAGTAAGTGTAACGTGAAGACAGTTGTACCGGACAATACAAAGACAGAAAACAAAAAGGAAGAAACGCCAACATGGACGAAAATCAAGGAGCATATTGCACACTTTGCTAAAGATGAAAATATTGATACGTTATTGGTATACTTCTCGTGCCATGGAGCCAACGGGGAAGCACTAAAAGGTTGTTCCGACAAAAACATGTTTCAGCTTGGAAAATCATCAGAGTTGATATCATTGGGGGACTTTCAAAAAGAGATAGACAAATTGAACAAAAAAGTAATTCTCTTTCTTGACCGATGTTTTCCTCCAATGGTGGAATTTAAAGATAACATTAAAGAATTCATTCAGATAAACGCATGCAGTGAGGGTCAAAAGGCAGTTTTTACTGACAAAGGCAGTTTATTTACACAGTGTGTTATTCAAGGATTAAAAGCTAGGTCAGAGAAAGAAGAATGTTCCAAGGACTGTAAGCATTGTCTTTCCTATTGGGAGAAAAGGACAGAATACATCTCTATTGAAAGCTTATCTAAGTACGTTAACAAACACGTAAAACTAGAGGCACCTCATCCAAAAAAGCATGTCAAAATTACTGAATTTGACATTGCCTTTTTTACAGAAGAGGTGGTAAATATAGAATTTACAACAGAAATTGGAGGAAACCCCATTAGTCTTCCGCTTAGATATCTGTCAAACATTGATGAGGTCAAACGTATGCTTCTTGAGTTCAATGGTAATTTTGTATAGTTGCACAAACATATAACAATTTGATTTTACAATGTAATTGTATTTGCGACAAACAATGAATTGATTAAGTATGCAATGGGCAAATTTCCATTTTCTTTTAATATTAACGTAAACAAAAGAATGTATTATTCGATTAATTTATATACTTTTGATTGCAACCATTTTGATAAAATTCTGGGTAGGTAAGAATGAACATAGATAATTATAATGAATGATAATGTTTGTTCTAGAATATTTTACTATCTTCTATATGAAAAAACGTTATATAGGATCATATGTCTGACACTTGTTAACAACTCACCCATGCATCATCGTCTCGTGTTATGTGTTCATGTGTCAAATGGTTGATCACATTTTTGTGCAATACTGAATTCTATTGGACGAGTACATAGCTGTCACAAAAATATTGCACGATACACTAGATGAGTCTGGTGTGAGTTTTGTAGCTGTGCAAGAGTCCAATAGAACCAGTATAATTGACAAAGATGTCAAATGTCCTCTTTATTTTGCTTTGTTACTTAATCTGATATGAACCTTTTGGACTTAAAAACGAGGCAAAAGTGTTGAATATGGATCCAATTATGATTTCTATTGAAACATCCTGTGGTAGAAATGTTGAAAATACATTAACAATATTATTGGAATATGGTTATTGTGAAGTTTAATGTCAAACTGTCACCAGAATGGAAATGAGAAGAATATAATAGTCATCTAATTGAATGGAATGAAATGCCAGTTTTATTATTATGCTGACTCATATACACTCAGAGGCATTTATAACCCGACACTTACATTTTTCAATATAAATTGGTTATTTCAGAATGGATTTTGTACAAAGTTCAACATATCATACTTACTAATTAGAATTATATTTACAAATAATCGATAAGAAAAAAAAAAGAAAATAAGAAAACAAAACGCTTCCGTAAAATAAAAAAATCACAGAACGGCTGTAAATATCGTAACAAAATGAAATTCTCTAAATCCAAGTAAATCAGTATGTTAACCTGTTCTAATAGTTTGTGTGTCCTCCCATGGCTATAACAACATGTCTCATGGCAAAAAACATAGTTTCTCATGAAAGCATGGGGAATATTTCTCCATTCCTGAATAAAGGCTTGCTCGAGTTCCAGCAACTCCTGCCTTCCGAGTCGCCAGATCTAAACATCACACTTGTGGGCTGAATTGAACAGGCGTGTGATGAAGCAACCAGAAGTCCCTCGCAATTTGCTTGAACTCGACCGAGCCCTTGTTCAGGAATGGAGAAATATGTGACAGAGGTGTTTACGTTGTTACTTACAGCCAGTTGGGAGGACACACAATCTAATAGAACTGATTTACATACAGATTTAGTGGGGTTCAGAGACTTTTCATTTTGTTACGATATTTACAGCCATTATATGCTTTTTCATTTTGCAGGAGCATATTTGTTATGTTATTTTCTCTTTTTTCTTATCGATGAATTGTAAATATAATTTTAAATTGTGAGTATGATATGTTGAAATTAGCATGGTCTAAATTTGAACAAAATCCGTCTACACATTACCAATTTATACAGAAATATATAAGTGTCGGGTTATAAATGTCATTGAGTATATATAAAAGTTTTTACAGGTGATTGATTTTGACCTTTGTTGTCCATGAATTCTTTCTAGAAAAGTTGTATATTTTATGTTTGATTATAATTTTCAGGTGACACAGAAAAGCATGAGGTCAAAATAGAAAAAGACATATTTAGAAATGACCAAGAAGCATATGGTGAATGCACAACATTGGAACAGGTTATGGAAGCGTGGATAAATAGGTTTCCACTGCATGTTTCCTTCTTGGAGAAAAAAAGAGACATAAATTAGCGCCTACAAAGGCGTTTCAAAGGGATGGACTCTTTATAACTGAATTGTTATTCTAGTGTAATTGATTCTAGTGTAATCTCAACTTTTGTTGATACATACATATATACAGTAAAAGCCATTTTGACAGCAAATGCATCTGCTACGGTCATCCGTTATATTTAAAATAGCTATAATGTCATTTTGCATAAGTTGTTAACCGCCATTATTGATGATGATATATTTATATCGGACATGTAACGCTGGTTAAGATGTCATTTCATATGTATGACATGTTGATGATGTTATATTGTTTTTTTTTTTTTTTAATTTTTCAGCAACATAGGTTGCCCATTTATTTTCCCCGTAATTGGTGCAGTGGGGTCGGAGAGCCATCCCCTACTGTACCTTACATTATCAATTCATGGCATATATCATCATATTATATTTAAAACATTTAAGTGACATTAAGCTCATTTTTTTCAAAGTCAAGTTGAGTTTTATTGACTATAAATTTCATTATTGACAATAATAATGGTGCTTGACAACAGTTGATATAAGAAAAAGTTTTGGATAAAATATATATCTGCCTAAAACATAAAGACTGCCCCATACTTTTATTAAGTATAATTTTTCCCTCTACATATATTTCCAAAATGTTCCTTGAGCCATAAGAGTTATGGAATATATTGAAAAACTGAGACGAATCATGGCAAAAATGTATTTCAACTTTCACTGTTTATTCACTATTTGCTTTGGATGGGCATAATGTCACTTTAACTAAATAGATACAGTATTGATATGCTAAAATAATTATTAATAGCTAAAATGGGGTTTTTGTGAATTTGTAAAGTAGTCTATTGCTGAATTTACATTTTCTTTTATATTCGAATTATATCTACAAAAAAAGACAAAGTAAAAATAACCTCGTTTTAAAACAAAATACTAAAGATATTACTACACAGCAATGTTGCATATTCATGTAAGTTATTGAATTTAATAAAGCAACAAGTATATGGGAAAGGCAAAAACAAGTTTGAGGTTAGAATTCATCTAATTCAGAGGAAAATGTTTTCATTTACCTATATAAGTCTTCTCTAAAAAGTAAAAAAGAAAAGTTTGTTGGTGTAAACTTGGAGGATTTACTTCCAAGTTATTAATATTCTCTAAATATTAGTAGAGGTCACTGATGGAAGGTCTGTCAGGTAAGTAGAGTGTCTTAATAATATTAATAATTAAACAAAGGGTGTCTACTACTTAAAAATATCAATAATTACATAGTCTCACTAACTTACTAAATTTTTAAACATTTCCCATGAGCGTTCAAATTTTTCATATTGAAACAGCTGTTTGGCACTGTATTTTTCAGTAGTATAAATAGAAACTATTTGTTTCTTAAAAATTTCCAAAGAATGATGTTATATTGTTTGTTTATCATGTATGAAATAAAGATGTGTTATTTGAACAGTGAAAGTAATAACGCTGTTTTGAACATCATTTTCAATGTCTTTCTTTCCAGAGGCATTTTTGATATAATAATTTGAATGCAATTATAGTCTAATATGATGCTCATTTGTAACAACAAAGATTTTTTGTTGCTTTTTGGTGACCATTTTAAGATGTAACTATCTAAAAACTTTTGTAAATAGATTATGTTTAAAACATGCACAGATACAGTTTCGGCATGTCCAATTTAAAGTATGCATATGTAATATTAAATGAATGTGTGCGAAAATGCGCGGGCGTGTGAATATCTTGAATTGTGTACATGTTTCTTTACCGTTTCAGCATGTTAAATTAAAGAATATGCATACGATTGTATGTAAATGCTCATGTGAATGTTTGTGCTAGGGCGCATGCGTGTGTGTAGGATGTGAGTTAATATGGTACTGTAGAATTGTATGTTATTACATGCATATTGATAATGTGTTTACCACAACTCATGATATATACTATGTTTAGTATATTCATCCCGCTTTACTACTATTGTTCGTATTCTACTATAGTCCTTCTGCATCGCAAGGATTGCTCCTTTTCGCATCAGTCACATTATATCTATCATTTTCATATTATTGCTCTTTCTTTCCTCTCTAAATCTCTTTCGGTACAACGCCATAATAACCATTTTATTATTCAGCATATGAACTGTTGTGCATTTTTGCTCGTGTCATTAGGCTATCTCATCAAATAATTACTTTTTGAAAATGTTCAGCTTCCAGTATTCTTTTGACTTTCCTACGAAAAGCGATACATATTAAAAGCCCCATTTTATATATATGAACTATATTCCATTGATTATTTTTATTTAGAGTGAAATAAAGTTTGTTTCAAAATATTCAACTTTGTAAAGATATTTAGATGTAAGATATTTGCATCTGAACATTGACCTACCAAATATAGAGTGATAATAAGTTCATGAATAGCACAACACGTTTTTCAGTAAAAGCTAAAAATATCGACTACCTTAATTGCAAAAAGTGTTATAAATTTATTTATTTTTAAAATTAAAATACACACATACATATATATAACAAATTCTGGCGATATACACAAGAGTCGTTGACCCAGTACAACTAGATCTAATATCTTGTGTTTCTTCTGTTTCGTCTCCTCTTTATGATCATTCTGTACTTAACATGTGTTTTCATCAAAATGGATAATATTCATGGGTTGAAAAAAAATATTTTATCATTTTTACACATGATATATGTGCAACAAAGTTGCTTAAAAAGTGCTTGAATTTTGATATTTGGAGTCAAGTACATAATATTGAAAGTTTTCCTTCAAACGAGTAATTATACGATTTTATATTGATGTTCTTTAATGGATATTTGCTGTATGTATGCTTAACTTATATTATTTAAGTAAAGTTTGTTTCATGCTAAGATATATTATGTCATGTGAACATATATATTTAACTTATATGAACTTATATATTTAACTTATATGTTTTCAATTTGAAATGAAGATTTAATCTTCCTTGCACATTAAACAGGACGTTTTAATGTTAACACCGGTGCTGTAAAGTTTAATCTTACACCCCGTGTAAGACGATTCGCATGTTTTAAATGACGTCATTCCGGACATTCCCACACGCCTTCTATTGATGAACTGCACGCAAAATGACGTCATTCAGCCACTGTAGATGAAGGTGTATTTTCATACGCTGCTAGACAAATGTGCTAGTAAAATGTAAAATATTAGTTTTCAAAACAGTTACACTCGAGCTACTATTACATGTATATTTTCTGTCTGTACAAGATTCTTATACTATTTTGTGTAAAATTCGTATAATAGTTTGTACTGTACATTCTAATACGTATTTCCATATATGTCAATTTACACATATTATATGCATGTCTGTTTACAACTTGAAATCGACTTTAGATTTTATTTGATATTATTATATACACTTTGGGCCATTCTTGAATAACCCTGTATACACAGTTATGTTAAAGGCGCATTTTATCTCAGAAATCCGTAGATTTAATTATTTAGAAATGTATAACATGCGTTGAATAATGTTTAAATACTAATTTAAAGCAACATGCCTCAAGATGAGCCAAGATATTTCAATATAATCAAACTTGAGAAAACAAATATCTTAGGGAAAGGTGATACATGTAATTCAAGATTCATGTTATAATTTTCATATTATGAGTGACTAATTGCTATTTTTTTCATTTTAATAAGTATATTTCTACTGCGTGAGCAAGGCAGTAAGGGCAATGTTTGCACATTTTGACTTGTTTTGTAAGTAACATGGGTTGTAAGTGTCATTAATAATGTGAAAGTTGCTTCCTTTTTGTTACTATACAATATTATACTTTTAAATTGATTTTCAAATTTTTCGTAAAAATAAGCATTTTCCGGATGCGTGCTGCTTTAAGAACCCATAAAGCGTTTAATAATTGGAGAACGTTGCACAGAGTATGCCGAAATGTTTCCTAGAGATGTTCCAAGAATTATAAGAGACATAAACATATTAGAAGGGAGACAACTCTTCAGTCCATACTGCAAATACTTCCAATATATACTGAAGAGTTACCCCTCTTTTCCTTGTAGTGTGTACCTTTAGATAAACCTTTAGCTACTTAAATGAGATACGTTTACAAAATGTATGCAGTTAAAAGTGACACGACCTTGTGATAGGAGCTGTTTCTGTGTTATTTTTACACAGATGTGAGATTTAAGTGTGTGTACTAATATATTGTGTTGTTTGACATAGAATCGAAGTGTTATCAAGAATATATATTTTTATCACCACGATCACGGATATTGCTATGTTCACAATTGTTTTAACATGATATAGTTCAGAATAATAAAGTAACATAGTTAAAGCACTTGGATATTACATCGTTCTTTAGATATACCCATGGTATTTGAGAGTCGATGATTTATTGATCAATCTGTCATGACCTTTTTTCTTATGAAAAAAAAAGAAACGCATTATGTATAGCATTTGCAAAGACAAAATACAGTCCAGAGAAGTGATGCTAATTTATATGACATCATTATGAATCTTAACATCCGTTATATCCTTCAAAGTAAAGAATGGGTACCAGACTGGTATGAGTTGTAACACTTATAACACCTAAATTTGAATCATCATCATCATAATCATAATTGTTATTATTATTATTATTATCATTATTATTATTATTAATAATAATAATAATAATAATAATAATAATAATAATAATATTTATTATCATTATTATTATTATTATTATTATTATTATTATGCAACAGAAAAAAAACATTTCCTAACATGGCATTTCAAATATGTCGGATATATAACCATGTTTGCAGCATGAAATGCAATAGAATTTTGTCTTGTCAAACGGCATCAGCATTTTGTTCTCAATTTACAACAGTCAAAACTTAATGAATGGTTACATGTGATACAAGAACAATAAGAAACGTAAAAGAAAAGAAAGAAAAAACACTTTTAAACCTTATATGAATGTGTTTATTTTATTCAAGTGACAACGTATAATATTCTGACGATTCTCATGTTTTACAAAAGTCTTTAATTTAATGTTACAGTTTGCTACTGCTATTTAATTTGTTCATTTTTGTTATAATTTTTAATTGAAATATTGTACTTATAAAACAATAGGTTTTAATTTTCAACATTTTACTAAAAGAATTAAAATAAAACTAAGTATTCAACATCAGTACCATTGCAATAAGTTAAGCAATGTATTTCATGATCACACTTTCATAGTTATGATGTAACGTCGTTTTTCATTGGATAATTATGACGTTTATATTATTAATATTTGACAAGTTATATGACACTATATAAACAGCTGTTCGGAGATATAACCCGAGCCGCTAGTCGCTAAGGTTTAAACATGCTTCATATTGCAAACAACTGTCCATACGGTAACATAACCTGTCAGTAATATTTATAAAGAATTTATAATACAGCAAACTTCCTTTCTTTCGAAAGAAATCAGGTTTATTAGAAATTTGACAGTAGCTATGTATATAAAACTATATAAACGTCACAGTTATCAAATGGAACGTGACGTTACAAACGTTATAAAATGCTACATTCACGGCTGCAGCAGATAGTTTATGAAGTATCTGTATTTACCCCCTTGCTAAATGGATTTGTGCAGTGGTATTATTCCTTTTAAAGATATTTTCCGGGTTATATGACCGTATGTATGCAAACGTTTTAGATATTACCATCATCTGACGGCTTTGGTTATATATGCAAAAAAAAGAAATAGTGTTTAAAATTTTTTCCGTCAAAAAAAGGGTTATTAACTGATTTAAAAAATATTTTTAAATTGGTATTTTTTGTTAACGTTTTTGCATTTAAACATAAACACCAGGGGGTAAAATAATAAAAGGGGAAAAAAATTGCAAAAAAGAGTGTTTTTTTTCAATAAAATCAATATAAAATCTAAAACCCAAAATTTATTTTTTTCCATTTTTTTACTGTCAAATCTCAAAAAACATTCGCGAGAGGCTTTTAAATTTTCCCCAAGAAACAGGATCTCGAATTTTTTGAACGAAAAATAAAATAAAACCGCTACGAAAAATTTCTGTTTCGGTTTTACCCCATTTGAAAGAAATTTTAATACAAAAGGGGTTTTTCCCGTTTTTTTTACTAAATTAATTTTTAAAGGGTTTAATTTTTCAATTTTATTGGTATGAAAATAAATAAAATTTTTTTTTGCCAACGACGTTCCGTTAGCCAGCTGGATAGCTTTTCTCACATGAAAGAAATCCAAAGTCCCTGTCGGGATTCGAACCCACAAGCGTAGGGAGCAAGTTTTTTTGAAGTCAACGACCTTAACCACTCGGCCACGGACGCCCATTTCTGGAAATGTGAAACAATATATGGCGATTGAAAAGTAATTTATGGAGAACATAAAGCGAAATGTATGGTTACAATTATTAACAAAATACAAACTTCTAGGTTTAAATTCAACTGCTTCCCAAAAAATAAAAGGTCAACTAAATGACATCATTTAATTCATATATCTGTTAATACCGGGTGTGCCTGCCTCTTCTTGCAACTTACAGTCCCGCGATAGGCTCTCATGGATATGATGGTCTTCTGGTTACCCTTTTTTGCGGATTTCGTTCCAAACTGGATTGGTTAAACATTGCCGAATCATTCAATTTAAAAAGATTTGCCGACGGGCCTTGACTTTCGATTGGGTGCTTGAACAATTTCTACACATTTTCAATTGGAACCTGCACGTTTGGCTAGCCAAAACAATGTCACGGACACGGTTCAGAGCCAAAACATGATTAACATTTTCCAGGCCAATCCGGATGACTTTGGACCAGGACAACGCCATCTATTTTCACGCAGCTAAGCTGACACAAGGCAAAGAGGGTACAAAGTTATAAACAGAGATGTGAATTGAATGATGTTCATTTTTTTGACTTTTATTTTTTGGGATGTAGTTGAAATTCACCCAGATATCTTTTTTATATTTTTTGGTAATTATGACCTAGATGCATTTTGCTATATGTTATCCATAAATTGTTTTTCAATCTCCATATACATTTAACTTACCCGAAATTAAAGTATTAGTAAAATAGCGTTTTAAACAAGCTATTTTTCAAAAACCTAGACTAAAACTGTTTGCACATTTTATTGTATGAATTAACTC